CACTAGACTACCATCACCACCACTACTACCACTACTACCACTAGTACCACTACTACCACGGCCACCACTGGCACCTCCACCACCACCACCACCACGACTTCTACTACTATTCCTATTGCTACTACTGCCACTGCTACTACTACTACTACTACTACTATACTACTACTCCTGCTACTACTACTACTACTACTACTGCTGCTAGTACTGCTAGTATACGACTGCTACTACTACTACTACTACTGCTACTACTACTACTGCTACTACTACTACTACTGCTACTACTGCTACTACTACTGCTACTACCACTACCACAACAACAACAACAACTAGTACTACTACTACTACTACTACTACTACTACTACTACTACTACTACTACTACTACTACTACTTCTACGGCCACAACTACGACAACGAGTACAGCTACATCTATTACTACTACTACTACTACTACTACTACTACTACTACTACTACTACTACTACTACTACTACTACAACCACTACTAACCACTACTAACCACTACTAACCACTACGACTACTACTACTACTACTACTACTACTAGTACTACTAGTACGACTACTACTACTACTACAACTACTACTTCTACTATACTACTACTACTACTACTACTACTACTACTACTACTACTACTCCTGCTACTGCAAATTAGAAGCTTTTGTGATCAATTGAAACCAGTCCATTTCAGTTTTGCCACCCTTGAGTCCCCCCAAGCCCAGCTCACAAGAGGTCCTTGCTGGGGGGGGTACGAGGTCCCCACCCCCACCACCCCCAAAAAATCGATCAACAATGCCAGAAACGGGCTTTGCAGACTCCCCCCGCGCCGAAGCCAAGCCCAAGCCCAGGCCCCAAGCCAAAACCCAAGCCTTGCCCCTAGTATTCCCTCCCAACACAGTATATGGACACGAACAACAACAAGAAGTACTACTATACTGTCTACTATATATTACGATTCTTACCGCTACTACTACTACTACTACTACTACTACTACCACTACTATACTAATACTACTACTAGTACTAGTAGTCTATACCACCATAGTGCTACAGTACTATGTATACTACGAGTTGTATTATTATTATATACTTCTGCCAGCACCACTACCACTATACACTTCTTCACAACAGTAACTGCAACTTGCTACTATTACTATATCCGTGCCACAACTATGGCGACTCCGATTACTGCTAATATCAGATTATTACATATGCCAGACCATATACCAAGACCACCCTATATATATGCAGTATATATATATGCATATATTATATTATGTATATATTATATTATGTTATATTATATTATATCATATTATATTATATTATATCATATTATATTATATTTTATTATATTATTTTATATTATATTATATTATATTATATTATATTATATTATATTATACCATATTATATTATGTTATGTTATATTATACTATATTATATTATAATATATTATATTATATTATATTATACTATATTATATAATATAATATAATATTATATTATATTATATATATTATATTATATTATATTATTAAGGATAGTCGTCTTATATGATATTATACTATATTATATTATTAAAGATTAAGTTATATTTATAGTATATTATTGATATGTTAATTATATGATATTAGAGATTTATTATATTTATTATTTATATAGATTTTTATTGTATGATTATAGTTGTTATATATATACTAGATTATAGTATTATTATAGTAATTATATTTTCTTATATTCTATTATCTATATTATACTATTTTATATTATTTTATTATATCTATGATATGAATATATATATGATATTAAAGATGATAGTATAGTATGATATGCTATGAAATGAGTGATGTGGATGTGATGGATGTGATGTGATTGTATATTATATCATATATCCTTGACAATATGATGTATATTATATATCTTAATTATATTATTATCTATAATATTATATATATTATATATATGTTATATTATATTATATTATGATATATTATAGTATATTATATTAACATTATATAATCTAACAATATAATATAATATTATATTATATTATCTTATATTATATTATAATATATTATATTATAATATATTATATTATATTATATTATATTATATGATATTATATTATATTTTATTATATTATATTATATCATATTATATTATATTGTATTGTATTATATTGTATTATATTATACTATATTGTATTATATGATATTATATTATATTATATTATATTATATATATACTGCAATATAAAGGATACATACATATACATATGTATACATATATACATATATATATATATATATATATATCAAGAATCAGCATAAGTCATCACCATCGATGAGTTACATGTACTCATATAACGATCATGCTTAATAAGCCAAGTTTGAAGCGAATACAACCATAGATAATGAAAATCTTACTTCGAAATATCAGAATGAGAAATGTAACTTAGCTTAAGTGCCTTTTCCTCTGTTTTAGCAAAGGGACTTATATTTAACAGAAGTACGGAATGGTCCCCGCACTCTTTGGTAAGTTACATTTCGTCTTCTGGGAAAGGCCAGGATTCCGGCGAACTCAACGCGGCGCAGAAGTGTGCTGTCGACAAGTTGAAGAAGGAGCTCGGGTCCAAGAAGACGGAGTTCAGTGACGAGGTCTCGTGCCAGCCCTAAACAATTTAAATCTTTAAATTCTAATACCTCAACTCAAACCTTAAACCTAAACACCCCAAACAAAAAACCTAACCCGCCAACGCCGCCAACCAAAACGAAAGCTAGAGTAAGACCAACGCCAGAGCCTTAGGCCCACGGGGACCTTGGTTGCGGGGTCAGTAGGTCATAGTCCTAGTCCTAGGTTGCTAGGTGGGTCACAGGTCATAGATACTAGTTAGCTAAGCTAGCTAAGTTAGCTAGCTAAGTTAGCTTGTTTAGTTTGTAAATTTCGATGCTACAAACAGATCAAGGCGTGCTGGCGGTCCAAGATCAAGGAACGGCAGGTTGAACGCATGACGAAGTCCTTGGAGAACCTGACTAACAAGGTTGCTGGCCTGCCCGGGCAGGAGTGCAGTGACTTGATGGAGGACAGATTTTCCCTTGTACCTCTTAAATTCTTAAATTATATTATATTATATAATTATATAATATAAATATAATAATATATTTTGTAATTATTATAATAATATATAATTATTATAGAAAATCTAAAACTAAAACTATAACTTTAACATATCATATGACTCGACTACTTATGTTACCCTTATCGTGGCTCCTATCCCCAATCACTTCAACGACCTTCTTTGAGTTTACCTTTCTGGGTGTGTGTGAAGGACACCTTGGTGTTTGTGGAGCATGTGCGCAGTGTCTTCGGCCTCTTCATGTCGATGCGCAAGGGCTCGGAGTGGTGGGACACGGAGGTCTCGCAGGAGCACAAAGACCTGCTTTGTGCGCTCCCCTCCAATCTCCTCGCCGAGATCATCCTGTGGTTTGGTCAGGAATGCCTGAAGGCGACGAGCCCGTCTGCCCCATTGCAGGAGGACGGATATGATTATTTCATATGGTTCATATGATTTCATTCCGCACTCGTGGGAATTATTAGACTATAGTCTATAGTCTATAGTCTATAATTCACACGAGTGCGGAATGAAATCATAAGCGACTGCTATAATCTGTCTATAATATAGTCTATAGTCTATAGTCTATAGACTATATTATAGACAGATTCTAGCAGTCGCTTTATTCTCAGTGAATCAGAGGGTTCAGCTATAGTTCAGAGTTCAGGGTGTTAGTGGTGTATTTATAGGTATAGTCTTAGTCATATATAGTCATAGTTAATAGTTAATAGTTAATAGTTAATAGTCTGTTTTAGTATAATTGCAATAATTCTATCTACGTATCATGTACTGTATTCATATATTTCCATTTTCTACTACTCTCTAGCTACTACCTAACTTAACGCTCAGGAGGAGAAGCGTGTGCGTGAGTTCTTTGACATGATGTCCTTGCAGCCGGCGGCGAAGTTCACGATTAGGCTGTACATGGATAATGTGACTTCCAAGGGATCTACCGGGGTTAACCGCCTTGGTGTTGGTCTTCAAGCACAGCTTCTTGGACTCTTCTGGGACAAAGTGTTCCGCATGAAGGATGCGACGCGGATGCAAGCTTTGATGGAGCATGCGCGTCTTGCCAGCACACAGATACCGTGCACGATACGGGGTATACGGTATTTTGCATAGTGGTACATTATTAAGTACTCTGAAGTACAGTAAAGACAGCATAGATACTATGGTCCTGGTGGAATTCCTACTACTGTGTCATGCCTCCCAACTGTAAAGGCTTAAAAGTCTTTCGTGACGATTGGTCTCACATTAATCTTGAGTCACTGATACAATATCAAGGTCGGCTGTTCCGATCGTAGATCTGGCCGCGCCTCCTCCGACGAACACTTTGCAACTGGAAGCGGGCCAGTGCTACAGCACGAACATGCAGTGGGACATGCAGTTTGCCCGGATCTTGCTACAGCATGGCCAGGACAGCGGATGGGGTCTGGGGTCGCAACCAAACAGGCGTAGATAGAAACAAAGTCCCTGGTCTTTAATCTTTGAGTCTTTAAGCACTAGACACGAACTCCGGGCAAACCCAACACTAAATATTGCTACTCAAATAACTAATAGCAAAAGCCAATAGCAATTCAATTAACTCAGTTAAGTTGTATTCATGACTATCTGACTGACTAACTGACTAACAATGCTTCCCTGTAGGGGCACGCGGGCGACGAGACGTCGAATCGCGCAGCCAAGGCTGCAACGGAGGCCAAGAGTGCAATCAGTGACAAGATGCAGACGTATCTGAGGGTTGGAGTTGGCAAGAGATGCGGCTGCGATTCAGTGATGTCATTCTTGTCGTACCGTTTGGTGGGGGCGACAGTTATTTACGTTAGGGCTCGGGCTGGTAAAAGATCATTCACCCGCTTGTCAGGAAAATGTGGGCTGAGCTTCTGGCATGTTCCAAGCTGTGCAAGTCGTCGCAGACGTTGCTGGAGGACTGCAAGACGTGCCTGGAGGACTTCCGCCGTGACATCGGCTCCGACGAGGCGATCAACGAGCCGCTGAAGCTGCTCTTGTTTTGCCAGAAGACGGATGCTGTCGAGAAGGTGGTCGTCGCGATCAAGTGTGTGGACGCGTGTGCTGGGTTGGCGGCAAATTCGGACCAGTCAGATTTGGGTGCCTTGACCAGAGAAGTTGAATTGGCTGTTGAATCCGTGAGCAAGTTTGCTGAGCCTGCCTTGGAGATGATTGCTGGCACCCTTAGAGGGTCAGCGCAGTCCATTCCTGGTGGCGTCACGTCGGTTTGCGGTGCGGGCATATTGAAAAGCTGCTGGCACCTGGCTCGTGCATGCAAGGCTGGGCAAGGAGATCACGTAATTAAGTTTACAGTTTACCAGCCTCGTCCCCACAGTCTAGGTAGGTAGGTAGCAGGCAGGTGGCTAGGTAAGCACGTAAGCAGATAAGTAGGGTAGGGGTTACAGTGTTACAGTTACACAGTCACACCGGTTACACTTACTTAGTTTAGTTTAGCTTAGCTCAGCTAAGTTAGAGTCAGAGTTAGATAGTTAGATAAGATAAGATAGATCAGATGTTAGATGATGAGTTAGGTAGGTCGGTAGGTTACGGCCCCGGTCCGTTTTTTAGCAGTCGTGAAGATATTGAAACAAATTTAATCCTTGAGCAGGTGAATGGCTGGGCCACCATGCCGGAGCATGTGATGGATGCAGGCAGCAAAGCCCTCCATGACGTGTGCGCGCTGGCAGAGCAAGTGCAGGCAGCGCAATCGAATCTCACCGTCGATACGTTCACCCAGGCCTGCAACTTGATCCACAAGGTCCAGACAAGCCGCGACTTGCAGTTCTTCACAGAAACTGTGCGCGATGGTCCGGATCTTAGGCGGTTCATTGTTATTATTATTATTATGATTCATTTATGAGTCAAGAGGGGTGGGAGCTTTCCACATCGCGATGTTGCAAAAGGGTTGCATGGTCTACGGTTTAGATTTAGATTTAAATGATTTAAATGTGGTCTCAGGTGCCCACAGTCCAGCCATACTCAAGAGCTTGGGCGAGGCGATGTCGAAGGCCGCTGTGGCACATGTGGGTGAGCCTGTGGCTTGGTTCCGTGCTTTGGTGCAGGAGGGGAAGCACGTGACGCTGCTGCAGCTGTCAGCAGCGAATCGCACGCGTATGGGTACAGCGGTCGAGCGACACATCCGTTGCATGCAGAAGATCGAGCATTGCAAAGTTCCACCCGAGGATGGCTCGGGCAAGATTTACTCATCGACGTGGATGAGCAAGGAGCTCGCACATGAAGGCTTGGCAGCGGTGTCCGACCTTGTTTCCTTCTCCAAGGAAGAGGGCAACACGGAGTTCCCCGGCCTGCAGGACGCCCTGGCAGCGCTGGGAAAGAGGCTCAATGATACGTTGACAAATGTGGCAAAGTCGTTGACGGACGGAAAGAAGGAGTTGTCCACGGTGCACGCGGATGCCCTGATCGTGCAGAAATGCTTGGAGGAAAATCCGGACAGCCTTGCTACGGATGTGTTCACAGACGAGGTCTGCGCCATCGTCAAGAAGTACGATTCCGATGCTACTACCGATGGTTCGGATGCTCCAATCGCGATGGCCATTAGCAGTGCCTCGGTCTCCATGCCAAGTTTGCTGCAACTTGTGAGTGTGTCTCTGTGCGCGGCTGTGTCTTTGTAACTGTGTGTGTGTGTGTGTTTGCGTGGGTTGGTGTGTGGGTGTAGGCATCTCTGTGCGAGGTGCTGCCAGTCTGAACCCAATGGAGGAGCTCGCTAGCCTCCTCAGTGGACGCAAGGATGACTGCCAGGGTGTCATTGACGATACCGCTGCCTTGGCTTTGTCCGTGGCTACAGAGCAGGAGCCGGGCAGCAAAGCGTTCAAACAGACATTGTTCAGCTTCCTCACCGCAGAGTTGCTCCTCCGGGACAGATCGGACACCGCCCAGATCACGAAAGACTCCACAGGGTTGATTCGCTTCGGAAATTCCTCTTTGGGATTGACAAAAAAAGAGCTGCCGACAATCGCCTCCAGCAAGCTCGAGAAGCTCTCCAAGGATCATCAGAATTAAATTCGGAGTCAATGTAACTTAGTGGTAATTAATTTCTCAGTTTGCAAGTTGTCAGTTGTATTGTAATTTGTAATGGGTAATGTCGTAATATTTTTTCTAATAATGAAGAATTAGTTAGTAAGCCGTGCCTGTATATGCTCACAGGAGATGAAAGCAAAGGGAGCGGAGGGCTTGAAGGCACCGTCGCCGAAGCCATCAAAGAGTGTATCCCCGAAGCGAGTTCACGGGAAGCGCAAGACGCCGTGAGTGAGTCACGAGAATTTAGGAATTCGAATCCCCGCAGCCCAGCATTTTGCTGACGCGCAGCGGGCTATGGATGAGATTGATGATTGATGATCGATGAGGCTAGACTGGCTAGGCTAGACTCGACAATTTGAAATGGTGCAGCTCCCTGAGTCAAGTGTGCAAAACACTGGACACGGGATGTCGATCATCTCCCAAATGTTGCTGCCCTAGTCTGAGACTCGAAGGTCCTCTGAGTTCAGTTTCAGTCGTACTGTACTCCAGTCACCATTTAAGCAGCCCGGTTCAGAATAGAATAGAGGGTTTTGTAGTTTGTAGATGCAGTAGTCACAGTCGTGCGCCTTTTCAGATGGTGTAGGAGTCATACGAAATCCTAGCAATCATGTCACATATCACATAACATTGCATATCATATCCTACCGTAGTTTCAGCTAGGTTGCACGATGCTCTCGGAAATCTTCTTTTGACGTCGATAGACATTTGTCGACGTAGCTGCTTTCGTTGCCATGATCTGATTTGGGCCAACCCTAGGTCCTAGGCTGCTGCACCCAACCTGAACCCCAAATCCCAGCCGCAATGTCGAAGCCCCTATTAACGGTGTAATTGTAATTGAAACTTAAATGGTCTATAATTCTATAATTACAATTGTCTATAATTCTACAATGTATAAATAATTTATAATATAATGTAGTGTATAATTTATAATTTATAATTTATAATATAACTTTATAATTTATATATTATTCATATTCCATTATTTACAATACCCCAAATCCAGAAGTTCTAAACCCCACTCGGGTCGCAATGTCGCAGTGCAAGTTCAAGCCTCTTCGGGCCCATCGAGTGCAAAGGTTAGCTTCCGGGGTCTGGGAACGAAAGCACAACTCTAGACTCTAGACTCCAGACAGCTACAGCAACGTCACTGTACAGTTCCAAAGGTTGCGAATGCTGGCGTGATCGTCTGTGAGCAGCAGAAATGAAACCATTGTGCATGCGATTGTTCGCATTCCCGACGTTTAGAATTGGATTGTGTCGGTTGCAGTCTTTACAAAGCTCAGGTATGTCCCAGACGACCAGAGCCGAACGAGACAACGGGAGGATATGGATGAGCTTAAAACCGACCTGGGACTCAATGGAATGTCTGAGAAGGACTACAGGCAGTTGCTGGGTCCATATCGAACAATGGAGATCTTAAGAACCCTCGTTGAGTTAAAGCCAAAGCTTTTAGCCTGTAGCCCACTCTGATTCTTGAACACTACCGAAAAAATGCAATGAACCCTCAACCTAAACTTTATTATTTATGTATAAGTTATATAACATAACATACTTATTATTATTATATAAAATATAATTATTCTATAATTATATAGATTATAAAGTTATATATAAACTCATATTATAAAATAAATTAATATATTATAATATAATGACTTTATTTGAATTTGTACTAATCCTGAATCCAGAATCTGAACACCTAAGCGGTCTGCAGTTCGGTTCTCATTTCGAGTTTCCACTCATTTCAACTCATTTCAGGTTCACTACGTTATGCCGGCAGCAGCATGGCAGCCAGTGGGTGATTGGCATGACCCCCAGAGAAGCCGAATGCATCGATTTGCTACACCACCAGTTCATTGCGTCCATGGCCTCTCGACCGTTTGCAGTTGTCCGATTACTTTTGTGGTGGTCGTGGGGTTCGGGGACTTCGTGTTTTTTGGTTGCTGCTGGTTGGGTTTTCTATGTTTTACGGCCAGGTGGTGTTTTGGTTTGTTTTTGGAGACGCGCGCCTTCTTCAGGCAGACACTGAAGATGACTACGGCGACGTAGTGGTGGATCTTGCAAAAAGCTTGGGTCGGGAGGCATACAAGACGGACGGCCGCATGCCTACGCTTCTCGCAGAAATTCTTAGGAATCCAAGTTAATTAATCTAAGAATTTAATCTAAGTAGTAGTTGTACTATCAATTATCGGCATCGGACAAAATTAAGGGGCATAGGCGGCATAAAGTGCACGAAACGGCTGAATGTCACTGGCGCTGGTTGTGTGAAAGGCTCACCACCAACAGTCACATCTTCTCCTTCCCCGACAAGAGGTTGATGCGTCCACCTGATTTATTTGCCTCGCATGATTCTTAGTTTGTGCGTGTGTGGCCGGGTTTGGTAACCTAAAATCTAAAGAGTCTAGTTTCGAGCCGCCCAGGCATGGATTCGATGTGACGAAAGTCAAGTTTATTCCGTGCAAACGGAGTTTATACACGGCCATGGCCGGAAATGCGATGAGCGTCCCGGTTGTGGGCTCTTGCATCTTGGGGGTGACTTGGTCAAACTGGCCGTGCCGTAAATCAGGATCGGATGCACACATCCCACTCCTCCCTCCTACTCCAAATGCTCGTCATACTGAGATTCCGAGGTGCTACTTGTCGCAGGCTTGCGCGAGAACCACGAGTATCCAAAGCTACACCTGTTGCCAATGAAAGCCCCTTCAAGTCCTTCAAGCATGTGTCTCGCGAGCTCTGACGAGAATGATGACATGCTTGACGACGACGCATGAACGTGACCTGTGAGTGACGAGAAAAAAAAGGCATGTTTGGAGTCTGTCTCGCACAGTGACATGAGAACGAGAGTGGCGCTGACGGCCATTGCAGCAGGATTCAAGATTAGATACCCCGATCCCGGATCCGCCTTAGGCCTTAATCACTTAATCCTTAATCCGCTTTAATCCTATGTACTCTGTCCCCTACGTCTTCGCGCCTAAGCCTGAGCCGCCTGAATCACGAAGTTCTATGTTGAATCAATCAAGCTACTCTTAAACTTAAGCCCTGGGAAGGTCAGTCACGCTTTTCACTTTTCACCTGTTCCAACGCCGATAACCTCCATGTCGCGCTGTTACCATGCTTTGGACTGATCTTGTTGGCCGTTCCCGCTGACGCCTGCTTGGAGATGTTTTTGTAGATCCCGCCAACCTCTTGGTCCCACTTTTCGTTGTTCCCGCCAACCTATCGACCCTACTTTTGGGTGGATCCCGCCAACGTCTTGGCACCACTTGGCGCCACTTCTCGCTGTTCCCACCAACCAATTGACACCACTGTTGGGTCGATCCCGCCAACCTCTTGGTCCCACTTTTCGTTGATCCCGTCAACGTCTTGGCACCACTTTTCGTCGAACCCGCCAACCAATGGACACCACTTGTGGGTCGATCCCGCCAACGTCTTGGCACCACTTTTGGTCGATCCCGCCAACCCCTTGGCACCACTTTTGGTTGATCCCGCCAACACCTTTGGCACCACTATTGGTTGATCCCGCCAACCCCTTGGCGCCACTTTTGGTTGATCCCGCCAACACCTTGGCACCACTATTGGTTGATCCCGCCAACCCCTTTGGCACCACTTTTGGTTGATCCCGTCAACCCCTTTGGCACTACTTTTGGTCGATCCCGCCAACCCCTTGGCACCACTTTTGGTGGATCCCGCCAACCCCTTTGGCACCACTTTTGGTGGATCCCGCCAACCCCTTGGCACCACTTTTGGTGGATCCCGCCAACCCCTTTGGCACCACTTTTGGTGGATCCCGCCAACCCCTTGGCACCACATATCGGTCGATCCCGCCAACCCCTTGGCACCACTTATTGGTCGATCCCGCCAACCCCTTGGCACCACTTATTGGTGGATGCCGCCAACGTGCTGTCATGGAAAAGCTGCTAGACTTAAGCCTTCCCAGGGCTTGCCAACTTATAGATCCCTCATAGTAAGCCTCATAGACCCTTTTAAACGAACCATTATTTTTGTTTTGTTTGGGGTTGACTTTTCCTGTGCTTCGGCTCGTTGGGGTCAGCTTGCGGGTTTGGGAGCTCCTGGTCGCTCTTTGGAAATTTCTTCGGGTTCTTCAGGGTTTCGGGTTTCGGCTGATTTTGCGGATTGTGGTCACAAAGTTATAGGGGTTTGGGATGATTTTCTTGGGGGGAGGGTTCAGCTGGCACAGGGCTCAAAGTCGAGCTAGGGTCCTTTACTCGTTGGTTCAAAACCCAACTTTTCAATTGTTGGGGGCTCTTTTGAAGTAGTCGTATTCTGGGAGTTGGAACTGTTCAGCCCATGGGCATATGGTAAGTATAAGCTCAACAGGGCTCTCTTGAAGTAGCCTTATTCTGGGAGTTGGAAGTGTTCAACCCATGGGCATATGGTAAGTATAAGCTCAACAGGGCTCTTTTGAAGTAGCCTTATTCTGGGAGTTGGAAGTGTTCAACCCATGGGCATACGGTAAGAATACAGTAAACCCCGACAAGTTGGAAACCGGATTAAGGCCAGATTGAGGCTATTGGGTTTCCAACTTTTGGGCTTCTACTGTAAGTTCAACAAGGGGATCACAGTGTGGAGTTTACTGTCACCTAGAACCTTACAGCAGGCCGTATGGCCCAGGACTCACGATGTAGAGTTAGGATTTACGGTTTAGAGTTTAGGATTTAGAGTTTAGGGTTTTAGAGTTTAGGGTTTGGAGTTTAGGGTTTAAATTTTATTTAGGGTTTAGAGTCAATGGTTTCTATTGAACGGTGGTCGTCTTTGCAGTATGATAGCCTTAGGTTTAGAATTCGCACCACTGCAAGAACCAGACCAGCCAAAATCCGTTAATTAAGAAACATACGTTAAATTACATTACAGTCGGATCCCTCATACGATTTAAGGTAGATTTTCCTTGGAACCTTAATTAAGGGATATTGGAAGGTCTGGGCAGTACTAGAGTCTTAGGTTTGGAACTCGTATCCAAGCCAACTAGCCCAACGCTTCACATGTTGCCCCAAAGCCCCCGACAAGCCTAAGGCCGCAAACCCGGACACCCTCAGGACTGAGAGTAGGGGAACGACCGAAACCCCTAACCTGTCGCACCTGTCAGGCCGATTCCCCCTACTTTGGTTCGGAAACTGAAGGATGCCGGGTTGCAATGGAGCACTGTTACCAGTAAACCGTGCATGATTGCTATTGCCATATTCTTCTAGAAGGTGTGCACAAGGGGGCCAGAGACTTCCTTCCTCCCTCCTTCCCTCCCCTTTAGTCTGCCTTTCTGCCTCTCTCTGTCTTAGCCTCGCTCTGTTTGCGCCACGGCTCTTTCTGTCTGTTTCTCTCTCTGCTCCTTGCTGTCGTTCGTTCTTTCATTATTTCTGTTTGTCTGTGTTTCTTTATGACTGTCTGTCTGTCTTCGTGTCTTTCTTTATTTCTTTCTTTCTTGTTCTCCCTGTGCCTCTCTGTTCTGCTCTCCCTGTCTCTCCCTTTCCTGTCTCTCTCTCTCTCTCTCTCTCTCTCTCTCTCTCTCTCGTTCTCTCACATGGAGCGGCCTTCAGGGACCCGAGACCGTAATCTTTATTGATGTCTGCTGCTCGGGAGGACACTGCGTGGTACACCGGCGATCCATTTCACGGCGTGGTCCTTGCAACTTGGCGCGCAAAGTCTCGAGTACGGAACCATCTCGTAACTCCCAGCGAAACTTAAAGGATCATAGGACTTAGGAACTCGGGCTATAATTAGGGTGACTATATACTTATAACCCCAACTAAGGTACTCATAACCTGACTTACTAGGTCCCATGATCCTCCAAGAATGCCTGTCTCTACCCGACACACCGAGCTCTTTTCTTCCTAAACCGTGCATTTTCAGTGCGAGCCCAGAAGCTGAACAACAAACCCTACGCCCCAAATCGAGACTCCAAGCCCTACATACGTCGATCCATCAGTCCCGAAACAATGAACACTGAACCTTGGTATCTAAGCCAATGCTCTCTGGTGAGGGTCTGGGGTTTAGGGCTGTTTTGAGTTTAGGGTTTAGGGGTTTAGGGTTTGGGATTAGGGTTCAGGGGCTGGGGGTTCAGGGTTTGGGGTGCTTGGACTGTCGCACGCCATTTGCACTAATTGCACCTCAAAACCTGTCGAACTCTCATCAGAGTGACCACCTCTTTGAGGGCCCCCGAAGAGAAACCAGGGCGAGATGGGATCTGACCACGACATGATGCGACGTATAGGCCCTGAGACCTATCAACCGCGAGCCCAAAACCCCAAGCCCCAAAGCCTATTGGGGGTTCGCAGTTTTCGGACGTTGAGGCGTAGCGTTTGGGAGTCCGTTTCGTTGTTCACGATCACATCACAGATCCACATCTCTTGTGGTATCAAACCTCAGTTATTCAGTTTCCCTGATCCCCGAAACGGTAAACCCCAAGCCCCAAAACCCGTAAACTTCAAGTAATCTTGATGTAGGAACCTGATTACGAAACCTTGGGCCTGTAACTGTAACCCCAAAAGAATCTAGGGTTCATACTTGTTAGGAACCCTGATAAAAGGCCTAAGGTTCTTAATCAAGTTCTTACATTCTCCCTGAACCCCGAAACCTAAGCCTGGGCTCTTGCTCAGGATCTATAGTACATAACATGGTTTCCTTACTATGGAAAACTAAAAAGGCCTAAACCCCTAAACTTTGATCCCTAAAAGTGAAATCCTTAACAAGAACCCAGAAATACCTAAGCCCTAAACCTCTTATCCCTGAACGCCGAGACCCACTTAGAGTAAGTTCTTAACAAGAAGCCAGAAGTATTCCAAAGCTGTGCCCTGAACCCTAAACCCTGAGCCCTAGACCTCTTATCCCTGAACCTCGAAACCCTACTTGGAGGGGGCGGGGGACTTAGTAAGTAGGTTATTAAGAGAGTTATATGTATCCTGGTCCGCGACGGCTCTGTATAGTGCTCAGTGAAGCTGATGAAGCGAACTCTTTATTTATATACCCTAAACGGAGTTACGCCAATTATAACCCTACTTATAACCTACTTACCAAGTCCCCTGCCCCGCCAAGTAGACCCTAAACCCTAAACCCCATAGATCCCTTTAAGGAACCCCATAGATCCCTTTAAGGAACCCTATAGATCCCTTGAAGGTAAACCCCCAAGACCGGAAGGCAGCCAACGGCGCACTGCAGCGGACGATGTCCGCCTGGTACCAGGCGGTACCTCTGTTGGAATCGGCAGGGAGTGGGGTTTAAAAGTTCACGGGTTTGGGGTTTAGGGTCTAGGGTCTAGGGGTTTGGGTTTCAGGGTTTAGGGGTTTAGTAGTTTAGGGTTTAAAGTGGGGATGCTCATGATATCGACGTACGCTGGAACTACCAATTCTATTCCTTCGCCCTAACTGTTCCATATAGTATACTATTCCAAGCCAAAACCCTATAAGCCCCAAACCCGAAACCCTAAGCCCCCGAATCCCTAAACCCTTATTCTAATGTTGCAGGCCCCTAATCACACTACCAGACATGAAAGTGGCAGCCTGTGGATCCCTGCGTGCATGATCCCTCAATGTCCTTGTAGGGGTTTGGGCTTCAGGGTTTGGGTTTAGGGTTTAGGGTTAAGGGCTTAGGGTTTAGGGCTTGGGGGGTTTGGGGACTACTTAAACTCCGGGTTCTGTATTTTGCGATTCTGGGGCTAGTGTGTACTTTCACGTGCTTCAAAAAATCGACAACCCGGATGTTTCATAGGTAGCTACAGGCAGGAATACAAGAATCCTGTCCTGACACCCGAAACCCTAAACACTAAACCCTAAAACACAAACCTAAACCCTAAACCCTATAAACCCTAAACCCTAAACCCTAAACCCCTAAACCCTAAACCCTTAAACCCTATAAGCCCTAAACCCTAAAAATCAACCCTAAACCTTATAAGCCCTAAACCCTAAACCCTATAAGCCCTAAACCCTAAACCCTATAAACCCTTACCTAACCTGGTAGCAACACAGCTGACCCGAAAATTCAGCCCCACAGTTCGCTGCCTTTGGTAGTAAGCTCCCCTCCTCACTGTTTTGGGGGTTGAGGGTTTAGGGTTTATTAGGGTTGGGTAGTAAGCTCCCCTCCTCACTGTTCTAGGAATTTAGGGTTCAGGGTTTAGGGTTGGGTAGTAAGCTCCCTTCTTCACTGTTTCAGGGGTTTAGGGTTTAGGGTTGGGTAGTAAGCTCCCTTCTTCACTCTTGTTGGGGTTTAGGGTTTAGGGTTTGGTAGTAAGCTCCCTTCCTCACTGTTTTGGGGGTTTAGGGTTTAGGGTTGGGTAGTAAGCTCCCTTCCTCACTGTTCATGATTCCCGCGACAAGTCGCTACAGCAATCGACGTATGACCCGTAATCGTGCTGTTTGATACCGGTCGAAGCCTGTAAATCCCCCCAAGTTAATCCCTAAACCCAAAACCCTAAACCGTTGTCCCTTAATCCTCTCCCCAGTCAAACCCCGAAGCCAGCCATCCTTCTGTTGAATCTTCAAGCCTAGACCGAGAACCCTAAAGAGCTTATCTAGGTGGCAAATTGGGATTTTCCTCTATGGTTCCTATAGAGGTACCTACCCATAAATACTCATAAATACTTGTCAGAGCCCCAAAACAGCAACCCAGTTACAGTAAACCCCATAAAGTTGGAAACCGGATCAAGGGCAAATAGTGCTGGGATTCCCTTTATATTACTTAAGGATTGAGGCTATGGGGTTTCCAACTTTTTGGCTTCTACTGTATAATGAATCAAAGAAAGTTGGAACATGGGTCGAGGATGATTAGTGCTGGGATCTCCTATGCTTTGCCCTACCCAGGGGCCCCAAAGTAGTTCCTTTTAGGTAGTATATTAAAGTCCCTAACCAAAAAAGAGGACACACCCAAAAAGGAACTACTTTGGGGCCCCTGGGTAAGGGCACGAGGATGATGTTCCAACTTTCCGACATCTCCTACACTATTTTGGTTGGTCCTCATATTAAGTATACGTATAATGGCCCCAAAACCCTGTTCTTTTTATTAAGGCCCCCCCAATTAGCCTTTAATATACCCTAAATACCCACTATTAAGGACCATAAGGGCTCCATTAAAGGGCCATTGGGGGGTCCGGTATGGCATCCTTATCATCTGCTGTACCCTAAGGCCCCAAAGTAGTTCCTTTTTGGGGTTCATACATAGAATCCTATAGGGTAATCCCAAAAAGGAACTACTTTGGGGCCTCTGGGTAAGCCACCAAGGAGATCAAAGTGGAGGATCGGCCCTCAGTTCGAATCGAAGCTGTCTGCGCGCACAGGGGGTTTTAGGGTGTTGCGGCTTGATTAAAGGGTTGGGTTTGTTCTTCAGAATGTGCCCAAAGTCCTGTGGGTTTGTATAAGTCTTAGGATGAGGTTCGGATTTTTCAGACGCCTTGGGGAGTGAGCTTTAAAAAGGGGTTGCGTATCATGATTTGATCTTGTTGTTCTCTTTGGGGCTGTTGGCCTGACAGCCTTCAGACAAGATTGTGTGGCTCAGAAGTTTAAAGTTCTGGGTCTACTTGGAGGATCATGGGACCTAGTAAGTCAGTAAGTCAGGTGATATGTACGTTGATTGGGGTTAAAAGTAGTACAAGGAAGTTTCCCTAATTAAAACCCCTAGGTACTCAGTGCCATGATCCTTTAAGTAGGCGGGCAGGCATTATGATTGAAGGTAAATGGTCACTGCGTCCCTTTCGCCCCCACGCCGCTGTAAGCCCTAGGCCTAAGCAAACACAAGGCTTCCTTTCGAGGGGTCCTTTCAGGGCTCCTTTAGAAGACTTCTCTTCACATAGTATTTTGCAAGAGCCTGAGAACATCGTTACAGTTTTGCATGTGGGTCCCTTCCAAGAATCCGTCCAACCTCAGTCTCCCTGCGCCCAGACAGTGCTGCCACATCAAACCGGTTGATGCATTCGTTCGCACAAGCGTATGCAACTTTGTAGTTGTATAGACCTTAGAGACACACTGTTGTCAACAATCTTGCTTGCTTTAGGATACGTACATTGGTTGCTTAGAGTGACTCCGAGACTGCATGATCGGAAAGATTGAACCTGACCAGCCCCAGCGTGCAATTGCCCACCCTGAGCCCTAAACCTTACACTTAAATCCTAAACCCTAAAGTTAAACCCTAAGCCTTGAACTCAAACCCTTAATCCTAAAGCCTGCCCGACAAGGGTAAGGGCTCTAGAGCGCATGCGACAGAAAAGGCCCTTAAACAAAACAACACCCTAAAACCTTCAACCCCAAACCCTGGTGATCTTCACCCCCGAGATAAGCCCTAAACTGTATAAACCAAACCCCCAATCTTAAACTTAAACCGTAAACCCTAAGCCTTAAACTTAAACAAACCCTAAACCCAGGTGATCTTCAACCCGAAACCCTAAACCTTAAACTTAAACCCTAAACCCTGAACCCAGGTGATCTTCAACAGAGATATCCAAGAGGTGGTCGCCTGGGTGCAGCCACACGTCAAACAGCTGCTGGGCGCATCGTAAAGTGGCGGAGCTCTTTGGGGTGAGGCTTTGGACGGTTTAGGGTTTAGGCTTCAGGGTTTAGGCTTTAGGTTTGAGGGTTTAGGTTTTGGGTTCAAGGTTTAGGGTTTAGGGATTAGGGTTTAGGACAAGCGATGGTTGAGGGTTTAAGACTTTGTAATTTAGGGTTTAGGGTTTATGGACAAGTGATGGCAATGCAGGCTTTTCTACGGCCCGCAAGGGTCCCGTTAATTGCAAACTTCGGCTAGAGTTCATAGCAAGTTTAGCGGCTGGACGTGCTATGAACTGAGTCTAGCCTAGTTGGCAGGATGACTAGATAATTGAATTCCCATGGTCACTTCAGTGTGCATGCACTTCTCGAAAAATTCAGCAGGGGGAAGCAGTGTCTAAGGTAGAATACCAAAACCCCAAGAAAAAAGTACTATAGGAGCCTAAATTAAACTATTGTGGGGGTTCCTGATTACAACTAGAGTTTCAATTATGTGCCCCAAAGCTCTATTCTAATTATTAAGGCCATTATATTACCACTCTGAACCTCAAATTCCCTAACCTTACAGCGCGACCCTAAATCCGAAACTTCGTACGCCTAAACCGTAAAGCGCGACCCCTACCTTAGCCCGGAAGAACCTACCCTTTTTTGAGCAAATCTATACGGAAATCATGATAAGGAACCCTAAAACGGTAGGTTATTCAGGGTTATACACCCTAAACCCTAAACTCCTAAACACTAAAGATATATGAGGTAAACCCTAGAAACCCTCGCAGGTACGACCGGCGCGTGCAGATGTCTTGCAAGGACAAGGCACATTGGGTTAGGGTTTAGGGTTTAGGCACAGCGAATCTCCTTGCCCTAAGGGTCCAAGTACCTAATAATCATTATTTAATAATCCTGTACTCTCCCAAATAGTAATCTACATAACTACATAAAACTACTACCCGAAAGAAAAAAAACACCCCCTCTGAAACCCCACAAAACCCGTATCCCTTATGGAACCCTTATGTAAGCCCTGATTCTTGGGTCCTTCTGGCCCTATCGGGCTCCTCCTGAATCTGAATACGGTGCGGGAGCTTCATGAAGACAAAAGCATCCTGAATGGTTCGGCAACCCTGTTGGGTTTTAGGGGTTCGGGGGTTTAGGGTTTGGGAGTTTAGGGTTTGGTAGTTTAGGGTTTAGGGCTTGGGGTTTAGGGTTAAGGGGTTAGGATTTAGGATTGAAGGTCAATCCATCTGGCATACATGTCGGCCTTAAACGGGTCTCCTACATGTGTAGTAGGGACATGGATCCTTAGGGTAATGTTCTTCACAGGGTAAGAGGTTTTTTTAAGAGGCCTTGTCAAGGGTTTGGGAAATCTACAGTCTGCCCCCAGAATAGTTGTATCCTTGCTATAAGGTGTTCTGAACATCTCTGAACAAGATCGCACCGTCGACGAAACCCTCTCATGCAAGGCGATTCCAGGAATGTACATCTGCAAAGACTCCACAGATTAAGGGCTTCGGGCGAAGGATATTAATAGTTTGGGCTTTCGAGTTGAGCTTAGGTTTGAGGGTTCAGCATTGAGGGCTTAATTCAACGAACCGCGGTCTAGTTAGGGTGCAAGGATCAAAGTTCAAGGCAGTGTGTGCTGCTCACTGCTCCTCTGCTTCCTCTTCCGTTTAGCGTTCTGCCACCTTGTGTTTGGTTAGGGGCGCAAACAAACACACTCACACTTATGTTTCATCGTCACGGCACACATCCCTAAATGCTTGACAGACACCCTAAACCCTAAACCCTAAGCCCTAAACCCTAAACCCTAAACTCTAAACCCTAAACCCTAAACCCTAAACTCTAAACCCTAAACCCTCTGCCCAAACCTATCGCAGCTGGCAGGTTTTCTGTGTGGCGACCAGCCGCATCATCCTGTCAGACAAAAGGGCCGTCGACGCTGTGGAGTCAGGCTAGGGTTTAGGGTTTAGGGTTTAGGGTTTAGGGTTTAGGGTTTAGAGTTTAGGGTTTCGGGTTTAGGGTTTAGGGTATAGGGTTTAGGGTTTAGGGTTTAGAGTTTAGGGTTTGGGGTTTAGGCACCTTGCCGTGAATCAGTAGACCCTGTACTGTACACTCTAAACTGACCTCCACGGATATGCTGTTTTGGAGGTTGACCCCTAAATACCGTAAATCTACAGTAATTAAACCCTCATCTGCGGCTTCGGGTGCCGAGTTGGAGCTTAAAATAACTAGTTACAGTATTCGGTATGGGATAACATACCCCGCAGCCGTGTTCAAATAGCAGACTATAGACTTTACATTCGGAGACTTAATCAACTAAAGCATGCCTTTTTGGAGGACCTACAAGAAACCCATAATAAGGAAACCCAGAAAGTGGCCGCAGCCGCATACCTAATCCTACACCATAAAACCGAAGAAGCCCCAGTCCTTAAGACCCCAACCGCTATAGTTCTGGACTCATGTGATGATCGGTGTTTCGTGGCTTTGGGCTTCCACCCGGCGTAGCTGCTGCTGTTCTGAAGCCGCTGCGTTTTCCTGGCTCGGCACGATACTGTTCAGCTCGGGAGACTTCAGGAATTACGTGAATCGTGTTTTCTCCTCTTTATTCTAGTTGGATCAGGAGCCATTTCTATACTCTTGCCATACCACCAAAGCTATAATCGGAGCCACTCAGTCACCTTGCGCAGTTGTTCATCAGGTGGGGTCGGCATCGCCCAGCTCTTCAAGCATTTCAAGATACTGCCCCACTTCTACTTGTGCCTTGGTTCAGACCCCGAAGCCCTCTAGCTATCAATCAGTTTTAAGTTTTAAGCTCTTAAACCCGAAACCCTAGGCTCAAACCCTAAACCTAAACCATACCCGAAGCCCTAAACCCTAGATAATGTGATCATCATTCGGAGCACCAAGACGAAAGACATGCGCCTTGCAGCTTCCAAAACATTCAGGGTCCTCCTGCTAGGGAGGGGGTGCTAGTCAGGGGGTTATGTGAAGGATTCGACCTTGACAGAAGCGCGAAAGCTTTGATTCGAGGTTCGTGGTGGAAAGGGTTAAGGGTTTTGGGCTTATTGCTCCGCATTCAGGGTTCAGGATTGATGTCTTGGGCTTTGCGGTCTACAGCCGTGGGATTGAGACCAAAAGCTGAGTTGACCTGAGATGTGAGGGTGTTGGCTTGCATCTTCTGGGAATTGGGGCTTTGTTGGGGGTTTAGGGTATAGGCTGCCATCGTTAAAGGAATTAGGTGAATTGGCAGTAGTGTGGTTTCGCCCTATGAATCCGAGTATGGTTTCGGTGAGTTTTTGCAAACCTTGCTTTCAGAACTCTCATGGGCTGCTACAAAACCCTCAAGTTATCTCCCTTGACAAGAACTCAATGTGCCCATTGCAGCTGCAGATGCTGAAACTAGATTCGGGTTTCAGCACATCTCCAAAAGTCAGTACAGCCGGCTCAGCCAAAACTGGTTTAGGGCTTCCCCGACCCCCAAGTATGCCTTAAATCGAGCCCCGTGCTACAAAGTAGGCGTTTAGGATAACTTGCGGGATTCAGGTAGGGTTCATAGGTTTTACGGGTTTGGGCTTCCGGAAAAATCCTGAACGCATGAACGCATCAAGCTCACGGTTCAAACCCCAACGATCAAGAATCCACGCCTGGGAATCTCGGGTAAGCAGAAGCAGACCGCAGTTCAAATCATAGTACAATAGAGGCCTACATAATTGCGAATGTTATTCCTGAGGGTTTGTTACTATAAGCATGCTATAAAGGAGCCCAAAACCGCATTCTGATTGTTAAGGCCCCTGTATCATAGAACCCTACTATAGATCCCCTATAGACCCTCCCTTTAAACGACCCTTTAAAGGAACCCTACTATAATTATTAAGGCCCCTACATAACCCCGCCCGAATGCATCTTGGCCAACCTATGTGGACTCGATATGTTGCGAACGAGAGGGGGGTTTAGGGTTTAGGGTTTAGGCTTAGAGTCCAATCCAGGGATTCGGGTTTGGCTGAAAGCAAGGGAGGACTCAACACTACACTATCACTATTGGTTCGAACCCTCAATTCCGACATCCTGTACTTCTAACCTTTCAATGTCTCAAGCCTTCACAACAGATCCCAAACCCCTGCTCCCAAAACCGATTCCCAAACCCTATACACTCCAACAGCTATCCCAAGAGGATCTGGTTTACGAATATGTTCAGAGTCTTTAAATTTTTGAAGGGCCAAGCTAGCTAAACCCTAAACTCCAAAACCGATCCCTAGACCCTATACTATAGAAGTCTAAAACATTGCCAATATTATTCCTGAGGGTTCCTCATTATAATCTTTACTACCAAGGCCCCAAACCTTATTCTAATGATTAAGTCCCCTACACTACGCCAAAAAACAAGAAGCTCACCCAGGGTGGATGCCGGACAAGAAAGTGCGCCTACCGGCCAACAACTCTGGCGCCGCTTCCCTGCAACGACTTGCTTAAGGTTTAAGGCTTGGGGTTTAAGGTTTTGGGTTACGGGGCCTGAGGTTAGGTCTTGTATGGCACGTCACCGAACCTGCAACAGTCAAGAGGGCCTGAGGTTTATGGTTTGGGGTGTAAGATGGTTTAGGGTTTCGGGTTGAGGCTTGCAGCGGTCTTTGTTGTCAACGGGCTTAAGCATAGAGATTTGGGATTGCAGAGTTTAGCCTTGCTTCAGGGTTCGAAGTGGTTTAGGGTTTATAGGAGCTCTAGCAAGGGATTGAGGGTTTCGGCTTCCGATTGTGACCCTCAAACCCTTAAACCCCCAAACCCCTTGAACCCCTGAGCCCTACACCCTAAACTCTAAACCCTAAACCCTAAACGTAACCCTGAACCCTTAAACCCCTAAACCCTAAAATGGCAAGGCTTAAGTGTAATCGGGCTCGAGGTTTTACTGTACGGTGTTTATAGCAAGGAGCCCTAATGAACAGCAGTGTCAACTGTAAGGGAACTGAGCTTAAGATACTACGACAGACATGAAAAGCCTTCCGCGTCTGGACTGTGGGTGTGTGTATATACTATGTCTTTATACACACTGACATGATGTGTATATGTGTATCACATACATATTGCTCGTTTCTATATGTATACAGAAAATTATGTATACAAATGTATCTATATATATATATATTATATACACGTGCTTTTATCTTAAGTACCCCTGAAATGAAGTCGTAACCTTCTCTTGGCCATCACGTTCCCGGAGTTGGGCCAGCAGCTCTCCACACCCTGAAGACCAAGAGAATCTTAGGTCCCTCCACTTAGACTTATACGTGGGAGTTTCCGAAATCATGGGTTCCTTTAATAGGTTACCATAAGGGTGCTATAAGGGTTCTTTCAAAGGGCTCTAGAAGTGCTTAGAGTTTCCGAAAACTAGGGGTACCGGATTTTGGGGTCCCTTTATTATAATACGGATCCACTATTTAGGGTACTAAATAATTGTCTCCTACTTTCGGAAACTCCCATCTTGTGTGAGCCCCGTCCCGAAAACATGCCTGTCTGAGTTTAGGCTTTAGGGCTTATCTAACCTTTGATCTTGAGGAGCTAAGGAGCCAGGGATGATGATAATCCCTATAAGGAGCTAAAGAGCCCAGGGAACCCCAAAACCACTGGTTAGTTATTGTCCGAGTTAGGCGAATATGTCCTACATGGTGGAGGCATCGAGTGCCGAATCCGCGAGGTGCCTGGCCTCACATCTGAATGCTCCTAAACACCGTTATGCCCATACATGGGAGTTTCCGAAAATTAGGGTTACCTTATTTTGGGGTCCTTATAATAAGGATCCCACTAATTCGGGTACTGTATTAGGGTCCCCTATTTCCGGAAACACCCACATAAGACTCGGGCATCCAACCATACCCTAAAGCCTAATCGCTGGACCTCAAACAAGCTTCCGAAGCTCACCAAACTAGAATTCCCAAAGTCATGTTGATGAACTGCAGCCTGACACTCCGTCCAAGTAGTCCTGATCTAGGTTCCTGAGCAGTACCCTCTTGCCCTTTCACTTATCAAGAATGAATGACAGGGAAAGAGGGCACCGTTGTTGTCAAGGGGATGGGGGAACCCTAAAACCCCGAGCCACTAAACCCCTCAACATTTTGCCCAAGCCCAAGGTACCTAGTGATTCATGGGATTCCGGGGATTACTGCAGGGAATCTATGGCTTAGGGTATATTGGCGACCGGACCTGCGACGTACCTACGAGCCCCAGTAGTTTGAATTCTTGCATAGTTCTTCCTTTGCGGCTCATCGGTTCAACGTTTAGGGGTTTAATCGTTGGGGGTTTACTTCGGCTGGACCCAAACCCTAAAATTATAAGGAGCACTTGGTCTCGTAGGATACCGTAAGATACATAGACCCCGCAAGGTAAACCCTTGCCGCCAGGACTTCTGCCCAAACTTTCTGGATCTGCGGCTTGCCTGAATCTGTCCCTAAGGCTCCACGTATCTATAATTGTACATGGTTAGGGTTTATGGTTTGTATGGTGTAAAGGTTTGTGGGCTTAGGTAAGCTGGAACGTATTACTTACAAGAGTTAAGTAGCCTTGAAAGGATTTCGAGTGTCAGTGTCCTGACAGTAGTGAATAGTTGGGTATTTGAGTTTAGGAGCTAGTATGTTTGCGAGTAACTGCGAGTATATTATCGTTGACGGTTCAAGGGCTTCGATCTTGTATCTGTAAATTGCCGCAGTTCCGATGGTTTCCGATGGTTTCCCTGGCCCCACACCGTGGGAGTAAAACACCTTCCAAATGTTGGGTGGAAGCATGCAAGCAGCAGGCCCCGTTCCTCAACAATCTGGGCAACCCAAACCATGCGAAGTCCCAAGGGGCAGGTGCAGGACACGACTCGTCTTCTTTTGCGGTCACGGGTGCAACAACCCTAAAATCAGAAGCACGGCTTAGGGTTGAGTTTAGAGCTTAGGGGTTCCAGGATTCAGGGCTTAAAGTCAACAATATACGGGCCTACATAATTACCTATACTATTTTGGGGGCTCCTTATGATAATTATAATATAACAAACACCCAAAAAACCTTATTCTAAGTATATTCAGGCCCTTACACCATGGAACCCTACTGTAGATCCCCTATAGTCCCCGTTAAAGGACCCCCCAAAGGATCCCTACTCTAGATCTTAAGGCCCATATATCATGCGGCACGGCCCTCACAGCCAAAAGCCAAGGTTCGGCGCTGTGTCGGCCAGCGGAGGCAGGAAATCGAGTTCTGCCCGCGACGTTGGTTCTGGTGAGTGCCCTACAAATAGGTCCAGCAAAAGCCCATAATTAAGGAAGGTACCTTAAGCTTTCGTAGGATCCCAAATATGACTTAATTAAAGGTATCTTCCTTATTTGAGGTACATTGGAAGGTCTTGTTACTTAAAGGCCCAAGGGACTTAGTAAGTGGGGTTTTATGAATTAGCATAGCTCCACTTAGGGGACCTATAGCCCGGAACCCCAATCCCAACCTACTTGGGCTGTACTTACCAAGTCCCCTGAGTCTTCAAGTAGGCCATTCAGGGGGGGGGGGGGGGCCCTTAGAGGGCTCTCAAGTCTCTCTTGGTGTTTCTGAAATCCTGCATTTGGGGGTTTCGCAACAGTATTAGGGCGCTGAGTTTGTATAACGCGTAAAGTGCTAGGTGTGGCAGCTCTTTCATTCCGGATCCTGCATGTCGTGCAGGCCTCTGGAACATGGGCGAGTTCAACGGCACGGAAAGCAGGACAGTTCTATGGCCAGCAATGTAGGAACCTGATTTACAAAGTCTGGACCTACAGCTCCAAAATAGTAGGATTCATGTACGGCACCCTAATTTTAAAAAATGGCCCAAGGTTTCTTAATCAGGTTCCTACATTATTATGTAAGCCCTGGAGCGTGAAGCCCAGCGAGTCCAGGAGTAGAGCTGCCTCGGCTGAGCAGCAAGAGCCCCGGATGTGGGCTGCAGGGTTTAGGGCTTCGGGTTTAGGGCTTGGGGCCTAGGGTTTTAGGGTTTAGGGCTCAGGGTTTAGGGCTTAGGGTTTTAGGGTTTAGGGCTCAGGGTTTAGGGTTTAGGGCTTTAGGGTTTTAGGGTTTAGGGCTTACGGTTCTGGGGGGGGTTAGTGGGTTTAAGGGTGTAGTAAAGTGTTCAGGGTGCGGGGGTTTAGGGTTTTTGGGGCTTAGAGTTCATGGTTTCTTCGTGCATTCGAATTATGTAGGCGGAACAATTTTGGCCGAGTATCACTGCGTCAGTCCGAGTGTTCCAGCATTTCTTGCACATCATAGTCATACCACAATATACCCCAACCTCATCATAGTCATACCATGATATGCCCCAAAACCCTGTTACTTGGTCCCGGGGCTATCTCGTATCACCTGGGTGTTTTACGCATCTGCAAGGCGTCTACTTCGGGGAACGCATTATAAACGTTATATCATCTTATCAAGCTCTGTATCTTCACCTTCATATTCTTCGGCGTCCGCAGCACGCTCTCGCATTTGTCAATGTCAGTGGGCTTGTGCGCGCTCATCTTCGCACGAGTGTGTGCTTGTGTATTGCAGCTTATGTATTAGACATCTGTATACATATGCACTGGTGCGGTCTGTGCCTGTCGGCTTTTGAAGCCCAAAGAGTCGTCTGCTCACATCTGCGTCGCGCAGGACTCGCGCAGGGTCACGCGGGACTCGCGTAGGACTATAACATAGCGACCTACTCACCACCCATTTTTCAGGGTTGCTTTTCATGCTTCCGTGGCGGGTTCAGGCATCCTCTCAGTCTTATACTAGTAGCATGCCACTTTCAAATCCCAGCGTCTACTTGGCAAACGCACTGCCTTCTTATCTTGGAATGCTTCCAAATGTAGTATATACCTCAGCGTCCGCAACAAATCCGGCACTTTGGCCTACTTGCTGCGTGCTTCTTGAAACCAGCGTCTACATGGGGTTTAGGTAATTCTGATGTGTAAATTTCCCGCTGATGTGTATTCTCCCTAAACCAGCGTCTGTCGGCATTGATGTGTATTCTCACCAGCTGATGTGAGATAGCCCCAGCGCCCAGTAAGAAAATAAAGGCCCCTATCGCATGCTTTCTGGATGCATCTGGGAACATGAGGTCCAGCTCGAAGGATGCAGCGCTGGTGGAGGGCGAAACAGCGAAGGCGGTCGTGAGAGCTACGGTTAAGTTGGAGGATCACGGGACTTAGTAAGGTTCCTTTAAGGGCTCCTTAAAGGGATCTATAGGGTTTAGGGATTCAGGTCTACTTGGGAGGATCATGGGACTTAGTAAGTAAGGTTATAAGTAGCTTACTTGGGGTTATAAGTATAGTTACCCTAATTGTAGCCCTAGTTACTAAGTCGCATGATCCTTTAAGTACGGTTAAGGGCGTAGGGTTTATGAAGTCTATGGGTCCCCTGGTATCCGTGCCCCCTCATAACATCATAAAGCCCTGAATGCTAGGGTAAAGAGGAGGCGAGTAACATAGAAAGGGCCTTGAAGCTTGCTATGGGTTTTTCTGGAGGGTTCTGTAGGGTCTGCCAGGTTGTTCGTTGGTTTTACAGGTTTTGTTTAAAAGGTCCCTGTGGGAGTTTCCGAAAATTAAGGGCACCGTATTTTGGGGTCCTTACAATAAGGATCCTACTAATTAGGTACTATATTAGAAGCTGCCCCCACCCTGTAATAGTGTTATAATAGGAATATAGTAGGGCCCTAATATAATCATTTCTAATCCTTATAGTCACTATTACAGGGTGGGGGCAGCTTCTAAGTACTAGATCAGGGTCCCCGAGTTTCGGAAACTCCCACACCCTAAACCCCATAGGTCCGGTATAGGAACCCTTTTAAAGGAACCCTTACAGATCCCTTTAAAAGGAACCCTGATTTTCGGAACCCTTAATAAAGGAACCCTTACAGATCCCTTTAAAAGGAACCCTCAAAGATCCCTTAAAGGAGCCCAAAAAGGATCCTTAAATGAACCCTTAAGGGATCCTAAACCCTAAACCCTAAACCCTAAACCCTAAACCCTAAACCCTAAACCCTAAACCCTAAGCCCTAAACCCTAAGCCTAAACCCTAAACCCTAAACCCTAAACCCTAAGCCTTAGATTATTACCCGATTTTCGGAATCTCTCCCATGTTAGTCTAGTGAAGATCCAAGGAGCCCACGAGCCGAAATCCTACTTCGTAGGGTACCGGGCTATGGAAGCGACAGGGCTAGGGTTTAGGGTTGTAGGGGTTTAGGGGTTTAGGGGTTTAGGGGTTTAGGGTTTTAGGGGTTTAGGGTTTAGGGTTTTAGGGGTTTAGGGTTTTAGGGGTTTAGGGCTTTAGGGGTTTAGGGGTTTAGGGTTTTAGGGGTTTAGGGTTTAGGGTTTTAGGGGTTTAGGGTTTTAGGGGTTTAGGGCTTTAGGGGTTTAGGGGTTTAGGGTTTTAGGGGTTTAGGGGTTTAGGGTTGTAGGGGTTTAGTGTTTAGGGTTTTAGGGGTTTAGGGTTTTAGGGGTTTAGGGTTTTAGGGGTTTAGTGTTTAGGGTTTTAGGGGTTTAGGGGTTTAGGGTTGTAGGGGTTTAGGGTTTTAGGGGTTTAGGGCTTTAGGGGTTTAGGGGTTTAGGGTTTAGGGTTTTAGGGGTTTAGGGTTGTAGGGGTTTAGGGGTTTAGGGGTTTAGGGTTTTAGGGGTTTAGTGTTTAGGGTTTTAGGGGTTTAGGGTTTTAGGGTTTTAGGGGTTTAGGGTTTAGGGTTTTAGGGGTTTAGGGGTTTAGGGTTTATGTGTTCTCGGAGCTTAGTAAATGGGGGACCGGAGCTTCTAGTGTAGCTTAAGCCCGAAATCCCTAGAGTTTTGGTTATAAAAGTATGGTCTAGAGTTGGCCTGAAGACTAGATAACCTACCTTGTCAGGGCTCCTTATTATCATTGGCATTAATTATAGGATCGGTCCTTAAGAAATGCAGGTTTTTGGGGGTTGTGGTATGGTATAGGGTTCACCCAGAACCTAAATTTCCCAAGCCGAACCCCTCGCTTGAAGTCGCCCTGTTGCTGTGTCAGGAGGAGACGGCTCCGGTAGCCGAGGCAACGGGGTGATCTCGATTTTTCCCGGTACCCATCTTCAGGGCTGCTTGACAACTCTCAGCGTGCTGCATGGGGTTAATTAGGGTTCAGCATCTAAGCTTCTACCGTGTCTCATACTAGGTCTCCCAGTGTTTTTGTTGTTGTTGTTCCCTTTTCGCAGTCTTAGGTTCCTTGTAAAGCTACCCGATAACAACAAGGGAGCCCTTTTTGTTCCTAGGTTACTGGGATCCTAGTAAAGAAGGGTTTCTTTCGGGGTTAAGGGTTTGATGTGCCTAATCATGGATCAGGCCTTGAGGGGCTTCCTAGACAAGGCTCCATGTACCTGTGTAGTATGCTTTGGCCTTAAAATGTTCATATAGGAGCCCTTTCTGGCCTGAGTATAGAGTATATTAATATGGTCAACGTATATACTACGTGGCTACATGGACGATACGGGGTGGCGCTACTGGACTTGTGGCTCTTGCGCAGCTGCAGAGTCCAGGAGTCTAGATGGGAGCCTCTGCAATGCCACGCCCTGACTGCCACACCCTAAGGGTCCATGTGCCCAAATAGTATATACTTTGGGCCCAATGTACCTTTATAGGGAGTACTTTAAGGCCAATGTATATACTATATGAATACCTGGACCCTTAGGGACAGGTGTGGAACTCCTTTCGCCAGCTCAACAAACTCTCCAGGTATACAGCGCGACAGCCTGTTGGCACGAAGATATCCAGTAGTAGTGGCAGTTCCGGTAGCCGATCCCACGAGCACCGGTTACTAGTTCAGACTTCGCAAATCTTTATCCAAAGGATCCTGATCAAGTGAATGGTAATGCAAGAAATCTTCATATGGCTAAGATCAGAGGCTTTAACGGAGTTAAAGGGGCAACGTTGGTTCAGGTCCAGAATTTGCAAGGGGTTCAGGGTACCCTAAACTCTGAAGCCCCGCACTGCCAAGCCCTCATCAAAACCCTCGACATTTCGGTACGCCAAGTCTTGCAGCCCTTGTAGATCCCGTGTAGAGCCCCTCAAGAACGGAGGAGTTGAAGGCCCTAAGCTCTATATGCCCCAAGTCAAGCAGGAGGATCCGCAGTACGTTTGTGTCGCTTTAGGGTTTTGGGGTTTAGGGATACATGCTATTTGTTCTAATTTCTGCTCTAGAATGTTTAGAGTTTAGGGAGCTGCGAGACCCTACTACTTCCCTTTTTATCAACCCTACCTTCTACTGCGAGTACTTAGGAGGTTTTGGGATTCTACAAAGTCGAATCCCAACTTTCGACCATGGGTTCCTAAACCCTAAGCCTTAACCCCAAATCCTACCTGACCCCTTTGGGTAAGCAGGCCGAGCCAGCGATGTGCTCGACAAGATCGGATCCTCACTTAGGCGACCTCCTGCCCCTGGGCCACAGGGTTAGGTTTGGGTTTAGGGTATATAGTTCCTGTACTTGTAAACTTTTAAGCCATCTTCAATGTTTTTGTAGTTTAGGGTTTCAGGGTTTAGGGCTTAACGGTTATACAGCATCACCAGTATTTTTATGGCCCTCGGGCTTTGCAGGGTTCTATGGGTTCTTTAATCTGCAGTCTCGGAAGGATGGGGGCTCGGGGTTTGGGTCAACGGCCAGGTGTCTTTGGGTATTTACGATGTTTTGCATCCTATGGCTCCATGTACCTTAGGCCTTCAAGGGGTTCCTATGTAGGTACTTTAAGCCCTAAACCCTAACCTGCGAGTATATACTATATACAGTAGAAGCCCAAAGGTTGGAAACCCAATAGCCCCAATCCTTAAGAGCCATGTATATGGCATCGCTGCAGTCTTTGGCCTTAATCCGGCTTCCAAGTTTATAGGGTGTACTGCCGGTAAATAGAGCCTTAGGGGCGGGGTTCCATGGAGTGTCGTAGGGTTCTGCAGATCTGTTGGGTTTTCGGGCTTCTGTTGCCTAGGATGCTTTAAGAGTTCAGGGTTTAGGGTTGAGGTTTAGGATTTAGAGGTTTCGGGTTTAGGGCTTAGGGTTTACGTCGGATTTTTTGCGCGGGTTGAAGGGTTTACACCTTATTGTAGCCGAGTCAACCACTATTGAGACAGGACCCCGTTGTGGAGGAACTCATGGATTCTGCTTGGGTTCTATCGTGTGTCAATCGGGTCCTTTGTGTTGAAGGGGCATGGCTTGTATGAGGTGTTTAAGGTATCGGGTCTATACCCGTAGGCTCCATAGTAGTTCTTTTTTCGGCATACCTTATGGGATTCTATATGTGAACCAGACTAGGAACTTAACTATGGAGCCTCTAGGTAGTGGCTACTTTTACATGGGCCCGTCTCTTGTTTATCTTCCCTTGTTATAAGAGCAAGCCCTTTTTTTGAAGCCGTACGCTCCTCAAAACCCAAAACCTCCCAAACCGAGTTAGGTCCCCAGTTCAAATCCATGATTAGGATGGTCTGTTCGGGCGCAGTTCTTTTATGGTAGTATAAATGAACCGTCTGGGTAACTTCAGCATACGCAACCGATGACATATTGGGGCCAAGATATTTCAAGGATCCGTGCCCCTTGATTTCTGTGGATCCGCCGTTTGGGGTATACTGAGCTCTGCAAGTCTGCTACCCTTTCATGCGAATATTGAAAACCTTGAACCTTCAACCATAGAAGCTCTGTAACTTTGGAAGTAAGCCTGGCAATCTCTAGCTTTACCCGTCCGCAAAGGAAAGGGACGCGCTGCATCAACATCCTCGACGACGAGCCCCTCGATTCCAAAGTCAAACCTACTTGATTGACCCTAAACCCTAAACCCTAAACCCTAAACCGTGACCAGCATGATACCAGCAGTTATTTATTGGTAGCCGTCGTTGCTCTGGGGACTGGGGAGGGCGAACCAGGCCGACTGACTTGTTCGCGAAGTTCGTCACACATATACGTCGTGGCGACTGTTCTTTCGCGGAACTGTGCTTGCAAGCTGTATTAGAGGAGTTTGATGAGCCAATTATCCTCAATGAAAGGATCTTGAAGTGGAAGCTTCGTTATTGGCTTAGGTCCATCCCGCCCAAGGCCCAAACCCCTGAAGCTTCAGAACCCAAACCCAAAATTCGTTTCCGGCGTGCAGTATGGCAATTGATGTGCAAATTACACTCTTCAGCGAGAGGAGTGTTACCGTGGAAGCATGCCGGGGTGAAGAGGTGCCAGAGTAGTGGCGGGCAAAAAGGGCACACTGTCGTCACCACAGCCACCAGCAACAATTTCTAAACCCCACCCAGAGCCGCATGGCATCCTTATGAAGCCTTAGAACAATTCGAAATCCTGACAACTCTAAAGAAGGGCAGCTTCAAGACCTATACCCAGACACTCCATAGTAGTTCCTTCTTGGGCTTCATATATAGAATCCTAAAAGGTAATCCCAAAAAGGAATTACTATGGAGCTTCTGGGTAGAGTCGACTGTGGGGAAGGTTGGCGCAGACGGCGCATCCATTGCAGCGCGCCCTTCTCACTGCTGCGCCTTCGTCCATGTCTTATATGGGGCTTTACTGTTCATTCTACTTGAAGTTTAGGGTTTAGGGTTTAAAACCTGGGATCATATTTTGTCTGTCATCGTGTTCAAAAGGCAGTTTACAGCATTTTCAACTATAGAGGTATATGGGGCTTGTACGATCTTTGTAGGGCCTCAGAGGATTCATTGGGTCAGAACACTCGGTTAGCATTAAAGCCCTAAACTCTATAGACCCTAAACCGCAAAGTCTAAAAACCTGAAAAAGCGCAACCAAGTGCTAAACTGTTAGGCAGGCACCGTCGTGCGCGTCATCACATCCTACCACAAGGCTCGGCGTTCAGGGTATAGGGCTTTAGGGCCTATAGGCCTATAGGGTTCGGAAGGTGGCACTCTGATTTAGCCCAAGGGGTCCAAGTATCATTATGGTATATACTTATAGGGTATTTGGGGGTTCTAAGTATATAGCATAATCATACTTGGACCCTTTGGGAATGGCTTACGACGCATTGCATCTCAGATGTGGCTGAGCTGGGGTCGCGGGTTCGGGACTTGGGGTGTGGGTTTCGTGCTTTGTGTTGGTTTCAGGCTTAAACCATCTTAAACCCGAAACCCACAAGCCTAGACCCTCGAACTTTCAAGCCCCAAACCATCCTCAACCTTTCGACTCGCAAGCATAAATCCCGGTGTGATGCCACCTGGTAAACCCTGAGCCGACAAATATTAGGGTTTAAGGTTTGAGGGTTTTAGGGTTTAGGGTTTTAGGGTTTAGGGTTTAGGGGTTTAGGGGCTTAGGGTTTAGACTATAGTAGAAGCCAGAAAGTTGGAACATCACTAGCCCCATGCCCTTAAAGCAAAGTATAGGGAATCCTAGCACTGATCCTCCTAAACCCATGTTCCAACTTTCTGGGGTTCACCATAATGTAAGAGCAACCGATGGATGCCCATATGAGCATCCGTCACAACTTCCGTCATTGTAGTTAAGAGTAGGGTGACCGTGGAATGTCGGATTTGGCCGATTTCCTTGGAAAGCGATAGGACCCCCCCCCCCCAAAAGCGATACGATAAACGATCATCATCTGTTTGGATATTTCCGTGCAGCCGCGGCATTTGGCCCAAAATTTGCCGTGTAATATATGGCTAAGCAATCGTCGATACATCGATACCCTAATCGATACCTACTAGATCGTTTTATGAGCCACTGCCCCATGCAGTAAAGGGCAGCAGAGGGCAGTAAAGTGCAAGAAAGGGCAGTAAAAGGCAGTAAAGAGCGGTACGGGCAGGTAAAGGGCAGTAAAGAGCGGTAAGGGCAGGTAAAGGGCACTAAAAGGCGGTAAAGGGAAAGGCAGTAAAGAGCAGGGCAAGCTACGAGTAAGATCAGTGAGTCTGATAGTCTTCTTACTTTCACAAGAGCAAAGCGATACCTCACGGAAACATGCGACGGAATCCTTGTAAAGCGATAGGAACCCCCCAAATCATCCATGGTCTAGCAATGAGCAAGAAGCTTTGACAAACGCTTATATATGCCCATCTTGCAGTAAGATACCTTGGATCCTTGGAAGGGTCCCGGCAAATGCCATAAACCCCAAACCCTGAAGGCTTGAACCGTGATCCCAGCCTAATATTCCAATCCCGTGAAGAGCTGCCTGCAGGTCTCCGTGCAGGTGGGTATACTCCGGAGCCGACGTGTGCCAGGCAGCATTCGATGGAAATGAACTTTAGCGCTGCGTATTTCATCAGGATTGCATAAGGGTGTTCTATGCCTGGTTTTCGTAGCTTTGCATTATGTGTGATGTCACAAACCCTGAAGACTAAACTCAGCATACCGCCTTGTTGCATAATTCTGAAAGCGTCAACGGTAAATTCTGCTGCAACGGAGCAGCTGAGGCTTAGGATATCGGTTGTATTCACGCGCTGTTGGTGAAGAAATCTGTACATAAAGTTATAGAACATGAGTTGAGCCCGAACAGGTTTGGAGTCTAAATTTGGAGTAGTTAGGATCCACACGGCAGGGTTTGGTAATGTAGGAACCTGATTAAGAAACCCTGGCCCTATAACACCAAAGTAGTAGGATTCATATAAGGAGCCCCAATAATGGCCCAAGGTTTTTTAATCAGGTTTCTACATTAGCTTTTGCGTTTGAGGGTGTAGTTCTTGGAGAGCCCGTTAGCAGCCCCGTGGACTTGCGAACCAGGGCTTTGAGCCTAGAAGTTTTAACATCTCTCAGCTCCTGCTTTATCTTTAGAGTAAGCCCCCAAAAAGCGGTCCTTTAAGGGATATATAAGGGTTCCTTTAAAGGGAACTTTAGGTTTAGGGGTTTAGGGTTTACGGTCTAGGGACCTACAGTAAGCCCACAAAAAGTTAGAAACCGGATTAAGGCCAAATAGTGCCAGGACTCCCTATACACTACTCTTCAGGATTGAGGCTACTGGGTTTCCAACTTGTGGGCTTCTACGGCAAACCCTAAGCCCTGAGCCCGAAGCCTACCAGGCCAAGGCCCTCAGGAGACTTGAGCCTAAGTCCTAAACCAAGACAGAGTTTAGGAGTTTAGGCGTTTAGGGTTTAGGGTAGGGTTTAGGGGTTTGTAGGGTTCAGGGTTTATAGGGCTTATAAGGTTTATGGTTTATAGAGTTTATGGTTCAGGGCAGTATTTAGTGTTTGGGGACAATGGCTCGAATGGGTACTGGAAGTGTTTCTTAAAGGGCCCCGATGGGTCCACAGGACCCAGTAATAAGGTACTTGCGTTTAGGATAGTAGAGTATTTGGGGGAACATGTTAGGATTTGGCACTTGGACCCTTAGAGGGGTTTACTTATGGTTTAAGTTCGGATTTGAATGGGGGCTTAACCCGAGCTTAAGCCCCCGACAAAAGGCCGATCCTAAACCCTACCAGAGCAAATTCTCTGCTAGGGCTGGTATGGCTCATGTTAAGAAAGCCCCGCAAGTAGCTTATGGTCGGTTCACACGGGTAATCCGAATATGAGGATCCCTAGGCCCTCATTACCAAAAACCCTACACCCTCCAAGCCGAAGCTTACATCCCCGAAGCCGCACCCCCCCCCCCCCCCCTAAACCCTTCAACCCTAGCCTTAAAGGGACCCCCTCAAACCCTAAACCTTAAGCCCCTAAACCCCACCCTTAAAGGACCCCTGAACCCTAGCCTTAAAGGAACCCTCAACCATAGCCCTGAAAACCGCAAGTCCCTGGCCCTTCACGGCGAAGTCCGAAGGCCTTTGAACCACAAATCACATGCTTACTGTGTAGGGCTTAGGGTTTATAGGGTTTTAGGGTTTAGGGTTTAGGGTTTTCAGGGTTTTAGGGTTTAGGGTTTAGGGTTTTAGGGTTTTAGGGTTTATAAGGTTTAGGGTTTAGGGTTTAGGGTTTAGGGCCAGACAGCCTAGCACACCCCAACAGCATCAGCTTCACAACTTAGAAGCAAAAGCTGGATTTGAGTACTGAAGCACCGGCAGGATTTCTAGAGGCACATAGAAGGCTTCGTCCAGCGAGCTTCAGTGTATGCATTTTCGGAAGGGCAGTTGCCAAAGTCAGGAATATCTTACCGAGGGTCGTAGTAATAATAATAATAATAACAATAATAATACTAATAATAGTAATAATAATAACAACAGGGATCTCTCCAATTCCGCAGCCTGAACCTTGGTTCTAGACCACGAAGTGCCTCAACAGACAGGCAAAAGCAACGAGTACGAGCGGGTGGTTCTGATGTTCTGCGACGGCCGGGGGGGGTCACACACGACTAAAGCCGTAACCATAGTTTGAAGACTCGTGTTTCATTCCAACAATGGCATCCTGCCAGAAGCCGGATGACATGCTTAACGGAGTCTTTTTAACGCACTAGAAGACACGTTTTGGAGCCTAATGCCTTATGTCCTGGTCCTAAACCTCAACGAATCTGAGATCTAGAGTTCTTTGTGACTCTAATGAGATTCCATGTACCAAACAGGTATACTTTTGCCTCTATACAGGTACTTTTGGGCCGAAGTACATTTTGGGCACATGGACCCTTGTAGGAACCCTTGAGGGCATCCCCAAAGGAACGTTTTGCAGGGGCACATGGAGCTTCCTAAAAGTAGGGGCCCTTTGCCCATATACTATGAATCCCTATATGGTATATGAACCTTGAACCCTTTTAGGGTTCATTTCGTCCTTAAGGTTGGGTCATGCTATTGCAAGGGTAAACTTCGGTCAGCTGGGCAGAGGCTCTGGGTCTTTGTCAGGGTTTCCAGAGGGTTTGTTGCTTATTTTATGAGGTTTGACTAGCAGTTTACATGCTTTTTGCAAGAATGCAACAGACGATATGCTACGCGAGGTTTTGGGTTTAGTAAGATACTAGGGTGGAGAGTATAACTATGTCTTTGCAGCAGACACTACCCGCAGCTTACCTTCTTCCCGGAGTTTAAAATCCCGGGAAGATGCGAGTCAAAAACAGCTTAAGAAAGCCAAGGGTCCCGTGGGCTGCAGCAACTAATCCCATTCTAAGAACCCTACAGTTACAGTTTGAATTCTACTTTTTTGGCAAACCCTAAACCCTAAACGACACCTTGCAGCCACTCCGACACCCGAAACCCCCCTAAGCCCTAAGCCTAAACCTTAAACTAAACCTTAAACCCTAAACTGAACCCTAAACTTTTAAAGTAAGCCCTTCAATACCGTAAGCCGTACACCTTGAACCCTAAACCTTAACACCGTAAGCCCTAAATCCTTCACGTCAGCCACTCCGAAACCCGAAGCCTTAAACCTTAAACCCTAAACCTTACGGTACCTCAAATCCTTCACTTCAGCCGCTCCGAAACCCGAAGCCTTAAACTGAACCCTAAAACCAAATCCTGCAGCCCCGTAGGGATCGCCTTTTGCCGGGCCCGGACGCTGGTGAAGTTGGAGTCTGAAGAGCTGAAGGAGGGTTCCTTTAAGGATATTAGGGTTTATAGTTTAGGGGTTTAGGGTTTAGGGTTTGTTGAGGGGCCAACTCCTAGAAAAGGCTGTTATTCTGCGTACTGTATGGTGGAGTTCTTTAGGTCCCCTAAGGGTCCATGTACTCGACCAGTATATACTTTGGGTCCCATGTACCTACCATATATATATATATATATATATATATGGGGAATACTTTAAGGCCAAAGTCTCTACTATTTGGGTACATGGCCCCTGAACCCTAAACCCTTATGGAAGGGTGCGGGGGAACTTCAAGGAGTCCTTGAAGGCTTGGGTTCAGGGTGTGGGTTTAGGGTTTCGGGTTTAGGTTTTCGGTTTGGGTTTCGGGTTTAGGGTTGGAGGTTGACGGCAACAGCAGCAGCAACAACAACACCAGCGACAACGCAGCAATAGCATCCGCCACACCCACTTCACGATCCCCACCGCAACTATCCTGTTTTCTTGGCCTACATGCCCACCATTGAGAGCCGTAAGGGCTCCGATAAAGGGTATTTCAGGGGTCTTGACACTCATGACATGCCGATTCTGAAGGAGCTGGTGGACAGCGGGAGTTGCACCTTGATGCAAGTCAGTTAGATTCTAGGCTCGTTCGTCGCAGGGTTCTCTACGGGGTTTGTCAGTCCCCTAAACCCTGAACCCAAACTCTCGCCGAACAGGGTTCGATAAGGGCTTGTTTGACGGATTAATTCAAGGGTACCGGAGTAATTAGTGGGTATCGGTTAGAAGGGGCCCCGACCCTGTAATAGTGGTATAATAGGAATATAATAGGGCCCTAATATAATCCTTATAGTCACTATTACATGGTGGGGGCAGCTTCTAAGGTATCGGGGCCTTAGTACTTGGGGCTGGGTCATCGGGCCCGTTGATGCCTTGGGATCCTGTATCTGGAATCACCTACTGTGGGGGGGTTTAGGGTTTAGGGTTTAGGGCTTAGGGTTTAGGGTTTAGGGGGGCCTGAACAATGAGAACTGTCTTTGTTAGGGCACTTTCGTGTATCCATACGCTTGTAAACCCCCCCCCCCCCCCCCCCCCCTCCCCCACAAAAAAAACAGTCTGCGTCTTACGCCTCCCACACCCTTGAACCCTCATGTTAGACGTTTTGGAACCCTACAAGCAACCCTATGAAGAACCCGATCTTGAACTGTTCGTTGTATTTTCAACTTCAAAGAGATTGCCGGCCTCTGCAACCCAGAACCCACCAAACCCCCAACCGCAACTCCTAAACCCCAGATCTTTCGAGACAAGGGGTTATTGGGCACTTACCACGTCCTTCCAGGCCCCTTCAAAAGATTCCGCGGCATCGTGGCTACAGAGCCCTGACCAAGTCCTTACTTAAAGGATCATGGGACTTAGTAACTAGGGTTATAATTACGGTAACTATACTTATAACCCCAATTAAGGTACTTATAACCTCACTTACTAAGTCCCATGATCCTCCAAGTATGGACCCAAAAGCCATGAACTCGACCCGTGATGCTCAGGTGATGTCGGAGAGCTCTTCCGCGCCAAGGATTTGCTTCCGGAGTTTTCGCTGTTGCAGGTCGGCTCTTCAGGGACCCGTCTAGGGGTTTAGGCTGGCGAAAGGGTCCTACACAAGGGTTCGATCATCTAAGGAAATAGATCCAAGAGGGGCTTCAGAGGGCTTTTACTAGGGGCGTCAAGCCGTACAGTAGAAGCCCAAAAGTTGGAAACCCAATAGCCTCAATCCTTAAGAGTAATGTACAGGGAGTCCCAGCACTATTTGGCCTTAACCCGGTTTCCAACTCTTTGGTGTTTACTGTAATAACTAGATCAGGGGTTTGAGGACAGTGTGTAGTATAACTGTGTTATCAATAAGGACATCCAGAGAGGAAGTGTTCCAGGCCCCTGGATGTTCCCAGACATTCCAGTAATCCGTAGTTAAGGAATATACCTTAAATCATATTAGCCATTCTACTGTATTTTTAGCCATCTTCCTTAATTAAGGGATATTGGAGGGTCCGGGTTGTGAATGATCATAGTATACAGATTCTTGTTGAATAGGGGTGGGGGCAATTCTCGGCCTTTTAACTCGGGGGTTTGTTTATCAGGTGTGTGCATAATCCAATAGTGATATCTGCAGGTGTGAGCTGCGTATAAACAACAAGCACTTCGTAAAACGGCGCCGTAGAATGCCATGGGGCACCTTCCCCTGATCCCCGGAAAATCATCGAATGTTCATCAGTGTTTTAGAGTTTGGGGCTTTTTGGTCTCTTGCTTTAGACCTCAGCATTTGAGGGTTGTAGGATGCAAAATGGGAACCCTCATCAACAGAACAAGCACCCCAACCCTCTATACTAACTACTGATGCTCCTAAGCTCCTATATACACGAATCCCCTACTTGGAGGATCATGGGACTTAGTAAGTAAGGTTACAAGTTTAATTGGGGTTATAAGTAGTTATAAGTGTAGTTGCCCTGGTTATAACCCTAGTTACTAAGTCCCATGATCCTTTAAGTAGATTTTGCCAGGCCCCTTTAACGGAACTTAGCGGGGCGCCCTTGCAACTAGTAAACTCTGATAGGCCCTATAGCGGAGGTGCAGCTTTGCCCTTCGGACGTGCCGGGATTCGGCCGGAAGTACATGCTCACTGCGCCAGGCAAACACGGGTTTACGATGTGGTTTGACACTTTCGGAATAGCATTTCGGGTTTAAGCTTTCCGGGTTTGGGGTGTGAGAGGCTTCAAGTTTGAGGAAGGGATATTTGGGTCCACTATGAATTTTTGAGAGGGCTCTTTGAGAGGGCTTTATTACATGCTTGAACTGCGCTTCATTCACGCATCAGGACAAACCCCGAAGGTCTGGACGCAAGGGCCCAAGCGTACTTATGCGCAGGATGCGATGGATATATAGGTACGTGGAGCCTTAAGATATGATTGCACACAGCCGTCTGAGAGAAAGTCAATGTGATCCCAATCTCTACTCCAAGAATTGAGCCCCACTATGTCGAGTTCATGGTTGCTTCTGATTAGGTGTCGAATTTCCATTCCCTACAGCTTCAACCCTGAAACCCTACAGCAAAGCCCTGAACCCCAACCCCTAAGCACTTAAACTTAAACCCCCCTAAATCCCTGGACCCCTACCTAGACCCCCCAACTAGCCTTTATGGTAGCCCCCAATTATCTCTTAATGAGATATATCAATCAGAGCCCGTTAAAGGGTACTTGGGGGGTCCTGGTAAACCTAAGCCCTGAACCCGTACACAGAAAGCCAAGCCCTGAGACAGCAAGAAAGGCCCTGGCATAGACAAGGCACATACTATAGGGGCCTAAGGTACCTATACAGCCTATGCTATGTTGCGGGCTTCTTACTTTAATTATGGTATATAATAATGGGCTCCAAAACCCTATTCTAATCATGAAGGTCCCCATATTATGGGTACTTCTCCAAAGTGAGGCCTCTTCTGGGGTCTTATCCAACACCCGAAGGTTGCGTGCTAGCAGCGTCGCCTGTGAGCAGTCTGGGTCTAGCCTACGTCCACTCAGAGAGATCGGTCTGTCGATTCCCTCTTAAAGTTAGGGGTTTAGGGTTCAAAGTTTAGGGTTCAGGGCTTGAGGTTTGGGTTTCGGGTCTGAGGTTTAGGGTGTGAAGGTGTCTGTTTCTTTCGTATTGCAGGCATTTCCTGCCACATCGCAGAGGCGCGGCTTGGAGAAGTGTCCGCAGAGCAATATTGAGGGGACACTTCACCCTACGGCTGCACTTGCCGATGTAGTATAATGAGGGCAATTCCATGCAGGCATTTTAAGGCCGATATATCTATATGTATATATATATATGTTATATATATACACATATGTATACATACATATATATATATATATATACATACATATAGACGTATTACATACATATATAGGCGTATTGTTCATACTTAGCCATATTATAGACATATAGAGACATATCATATACACATAACTGTATTCACACGGAGAGCCTCAGGGTAAACCGCAAATCCTGATGTGACATACTCTGCTCTCTAGCAATGCTTTAAGTTGTTGTTATACGACCCTAAAAACTACGGTACAGGTAAACCTTCAACTTTAGGATAACCCTAAATCCTAAACTTCTAGCCTAAAAATCAGAGGTGATAAATAACAACTTGCACCTGAAACTCTAGAGTTGTTGAGTTTAGGGTGTGTTTCGAGTGCTTGTGGTTTTGAGTTCGAGCTTTTGGGTTAAGGGCTGACGGGGCTGTGGGGTCTGAGGATGTAGTGGAGGGGTATAGAAAAATAGTACTAAACCCTAAACCCTAAACCCCTAAACCCTAAACCCTAAACCGACGGTTTGGCTTTTGGGCTTCCTTAAGCGCTCCTTTTGGGCTGCTAGAGGGTTCCTCTATGCGTAGCGTTCGGGGGCCTTTTAACATGAAGGCCCAAACACCTGGGTTCTTGTTAAGAAACTTAATTTAAGTTACCATAATAAGGAAACCCTGTTATTTACGATAGATCCCTATTATGGTAACTTAAATTAAGTTCCTTAACAAGAACCCAGACAAAGGTACCTGACCGATACCTGGACCCCTGTAGGAGCCCTTACAGGAACCAACCTATAGTCTCCGTTGTAGCTCCTTTTTTGGGGTAACCAAAATCTCTATTATAGGATCCTAACCATGAAACTGGTTCACAAAAAAAGGAACTACAATGGAGACTATAGGAAACCTTACAACAACCCTAAAGCCCTAAAGCTGAAACCCTACACCGGTAAACCTTGCAGTGACCCTTTTACGGAGCTTGTTGTTCATCTCCTTCAGTGGTCCTTCAGGAGTTCCACACCCAAGCCCCGCACCCAAAACCAAAGCCCTAGTCCCTCCTCAGGGAACCTTTTAAAACCTTATACACCGTATGATAGCCCTACTGAACCCCTACACCTTAAAGGAACCCCTGTCGCCCTATGTAGAACGTCTGGGTTCTTGTGAAGGGAAATGGAATCTGTTCACCATAATAAGGAAGCCATATCACGTACTATAGATCCCTGTTACAGCAACTTAAACTAGCTTTCTTAACAAGAACCCAGACAACCAAAGCCCTAAGCCTAAACCCATACACTATAAATCCTACAACTCCTGAGCTACAGTTCTAAAGGCACCCTAGCCCCAAACCCTCACTGTCCCTATAGATCCCTATTATATTGTACATTAATTGACTGCCTTCGCACAAACCCGGCTTTTGTTCATAAAAAACCCGGAGCTACACCCTAAACCCCTAACCCTAAACCCTAAACCCTCTACACCCTAAACCGAAAACCCCATATAAACCCTAAACTCCTAAACCCTCTACACCCTAAACCCCTTTTCTTCATCTCCTTCAGGAGTTCGCCTTAGTGGCCCTCACTTTATCGAGGGACATGCGGCCTTCGCAACTGGCCGGGCAGCTTCCCGGGCAGCTCGTCCCGACCGTTAAGGGCTCCTTTAAGGGATCCCTGACGAGCTCCTTTAAGGGATCCTTTGAGGGATCCTTTAAGGCATCCTTCATCGGTTTAGGGTTTAAGGGTTTCTTACGGGCTTCGAAGATTTACGAAAGGGTTTTTAAGGCTTAGGGTCCAATTAGGGTTCCTTCTAAGGGTTTCCATGGTTTAGGGTATAGGGTTCGTTGAAGATATTGAACTTTGGGTTTCAGGGTTCCTTCAAAGGTTGGATTTTCTGTCAGGGTGCAGGGTTCGGGGTCAAGGGCTTCGGGGTTTGGGATCTCGGATTTAAGCGTTAGGGCTGTGAGGTGATGTTGCAAGGGTTCTCTTTCTGGCTGGCTTGTATGGCAATGATCTTCTCATTTAGGGGCTAGTTGCCCTTAGCCATCCTGGAATTCTAGACGATGGGCACGGATACCCATCCTTGCAGTGTTTATTGCATGGTTCACGGCGACAGTCAATCCTGAGCATTATCAACAGGTCTCAGACCAACACGAACGGCTGGTAAGTCCACGGGAATTTATTGCACTTGCGTTGTCGGCTGCTCTTGATTCCGCTGCAATGCAAGCGAAATCCTTTACCATAAATGGGTAGTTGTCAAAATTATGGCCCCTTTTGGGGTACCTTAAATATTCGGTGCCATATTATAATAAGGACCACAAAACGGTACCATAATTTTGACAACCACCCAAATAGCGCACAGGAGCCAAGACCCTTCTCCCTGACTCATACCCTAAACACTAAAGTAAAAGCCAGAAAGTTGGAATATGATTATGCTAAACCCTTTATGGTAAATTATAGGGTATCCTACCCTGAAACCATATTCCAACTTTCTGGAGTTCCCTTTGAACCTGACTCTGACCAACCCACAGGGTCATATTAAAGGGAACTCCAGAAAGTTGGAATATGGTTTCGGGTTTAGGGTTTAGGGTTTAGGGTAGCCTCAGGCTACTTACTTTTCTGTATGGGTAGTTGTCAAAATTAGCTTCCCTTTTGGGGTACCCTAAATGGAAATGGGAATGGAGCGCCACTGCAGAACACGTGGTGGAGCAACGGGGTAAATAATAGGTGCTGTACTATATTAGGGACCCCAAAAGGGACCATAGTTTTGACAACCACCCGTATAACAGTTCAGCCACAAAGCTAGGCACCCTTAAAAGAGTCAGGGTATGACCCGATAGGTAGACGCCCACCTACTAAAGCCTGTTTGTGTGCAGGTCCCTACATATTCTTTGCTATGTGTATAAGGCCCCCACCAAAAAGCGGGCTCCAGTCGGGCTTGGGCTCGGGGAGGGGGGGGGGTTAGACCATGGACCACCCGACACAGGATAACATAGATTCATTCGGCTCCTGGTTTTGTAGACCACACAACCCTATGTCCTGAATCTTTTTTCAAACTCCCCTGTACAACCCCTGCCATAGAGCCCTTTCAAGAATCCAAATGTCCTCAGGATTCCACACATCTGGACAGACTTCACGGTGAGGCTGTGAGCACTTGGGGTACTTGCTCACGTCTGCCAGCCGACGGAGTGAAATGCTCAAACCCCTGAACTCTGAGCACTTATAGGAAACTCCAGAAAGTTGGAATATGGTTTCATGGTAGGATACCCTATAATTTACCATAGAAGGGTTAGGATACTCATATTCCAACTTTCTGGCTTTTACCTTAAGGTTTAGGGTTCAGTTTCAAGGTGGGCTGTAGCCGTAAGACTGTACTCCCCACTGAGACATCGACCTAACACTCCAAACAGCCCAAAGCAGGCACCATTCATGGAGTGTGTAGGTAGTATTTGTATACCGGCGTAGGATCAAAGTATCCTCGATGCCACCGGGCCTGTACATACGCCTCCCACAAGTTTTTCATGGTCCGGGGCGCCTGATGCATCTGGACAAGCTATCCCCCGGAAGCCCGAAAGCTAGAACTCTGCACCCTACATCATGTAGGGTTTGGGGCCGAGCTTTGGGTGTATATGCTAAAAGCTCAACCCGGCTTAACCTAAGCTTACAGGCCCACAATTTAATGCATGTACATCCCGCACCCAGTCCCGAACAGTTCCGTCTGAATGGCTCTGCTATATCTTAACAAAACGAAACAGCACTGCGATCGACGCCAAGTCCATGAGAAAGCCATCTTGTGATGCCGCGGTGTGGTGGCAAACTGGAGGCAAAGTTGTTTGAAGTCAGGCGCAGGGGTTCGCCGCTTCGAGACGTGCGAGAAGTCGGGTGCACGGTCTTGCCACGCACAAAAGGGGCCAGTCGGGGATTGAGACCCCTCATGAGGCTTACACCACAGCCGCCTGGAACAAAAGCATGAGCGAGATATGTCCGGGCTGTTGTCATGGTCTGGTTGAGTTCTTGTCCACATGATGGTACAATGTATCCCAACAAGCCAGTTTTAAATCATCGGTAAGACCCTATACTACTTTAAGCCACAGGCAGCCCTCAACCCAGAAGCTTGTAATCCTAGCAGTCCCGAAACTTGTTTCCGTCCGAGAGACAATCCCAGGGTTCAGTCGGCCTTTTCCGAGAAGTCGCCTCTAGATTCTTGATAAGGATCCCACGGAATCAGGCAAACATAAATTCAAAGTGAAGCCTACAGTTACAGTTTCAGAAGTCTAGTGGAACAGCGACACACCCAGGGAGACTGAACCTCGACGCTAATTTCCCTGAAACCCTGTTGTGAGACCCTAAATAGATCCCTGAACTTATAGAACCGATATAGGTCCCTTTAAGACATACCTGTCCTGGCTTTCAAGGTCAGCTCTCATCCGGGTAATTAGTTAGACTCCTCTCGTACTCAGCTACCTTCAGCCTAAACCCAACCAAGTACAGGCTGGCATGAGGGAGGAGTCGAGTCAACATTAGGCGCCCGAAGCCCTACACCCAAAGCCCCGTAGCCCCCAAGCCCTAAAACCTAAGTCCTGACCTCGACCCAAAGGCTCTGTACCGCAAGCCCGAAACCTTTACTTGAAGGATCGTGGGACTTGGTAAGTGAGGTTATAAGTACCTTAATAGGGTATATAAGTAGTTATAAGTATAGTTCTCTAATTATATCCCAGTTATTAAGTCCCATGATCCTTTCAGTAATCCATCTTAAACCCCTGGTAAGGTGCCGAGGGCGGACGACCTATCTGCCTGGGAAACGTTGAGATTCCCATCTACCTGCCCGGAAGCCCAGAGCATGCGGGGTTTTCATACAGACGTCTTTTAGGCATGTTTCCTGGAGCATACAGATGAGTGATAGATGTAAGGGTTTTGAAGGTCTTCCCGCACATGTATGAGTCTGCTTCATCTGGAGGTACTTGTGATAAGGACATCTGCATTTAGGGCTCCAAGTACCTTGGGTTTTGCCTTAGGATTCCTGAGACAAGCACATCTGTTGAGTGCTTAAACGCTAGCTTAACACTGCCGACAGCTGTTGTCGGGTGCAGTACGTGGACCCTTACCTTAGGTGCATCGGGAAGTATCGCCAGTTACATGCCTTCGTGACTGATCTTCATCCTGTTATGTTGGGCAGGAATTCAATAATGAGTTTCGGGTTTTGAGGCTTCGATCGCCTGCCGCAGCCCTACGTAGAACCACAAATTCCCAACTCCCGCTTCTGTGAGCTCATGCTGTCCAGCCTAGAAACTTGCAGGTGCAACTGCCACAGCCCTACCCAAACAAGCTCCAAAGTGCAGGACCCCAAAACACATCGTACCTCATCCGACCGAGGGTTTCAAAAGTTGAGGGTTTCGGGTCCCCACCTACCTTGCTTGAATTCCCGCCGTTGAGATTATAGGGCGCTTCACCAGAGTATGGTGGGATACATGAGGGCCGGTAAAGCCTGAGGCATCTCCCTGGCACCCTGAAGCCCTGACTTGACCCTTTTAACCCTAAAGCCCTACACCCTTTAAGACGTGCCCAGAGCTTTTGTGGGCCCAAGTTGGCCCAGAACAGTTGAACTGCTCAGAGACACTGCCGTGATGCCATATGGGTAGTTTTCTAAACTAGGTTTGCTAAAAGCACGGCACCCATATAGAAAGGACATCAGGGACCCTAAATCTAGAGAACCAACCATATTCCGAAGCATCTGCTGCAGCCCTGCAGGTGCTGTCTAAGAAGCCTTTCAGACCCAAGAGATTTTAGGTTCAAACCCTAGATCCTAAACCCTATAAACCCCTAAGCCCTAAAACCCTAAACCCTAATCCCTCTAAACCCTAAAACCCTAGATCCTAAACCCTATAAACCCCTAAGCCCTAAGCCCCAAACCCTGACGCTGCGGGATAGGGCCGTGTTACGGCAAGGCTTCGGTTATAGCTGCGGCAGAACTAAGGGTCCATGTACTCATATAGTATACCTTAACCCTGAAGGACCTACCTTTTTAAGGACTTATATAAGGAAATCATAATAAAGAGCCCTAAAAATGTAGGTTATTCAGGGTTAAGGTATACATGTATATACATTGGCCTTAAAGTATTCCCTATATAGGTACATATACTATATGGGTACATGGACCCTCAGGGTAAGTAATCATAAGTAATCATGTGCAGCGTCATTCAGATACAAGGCGGAGCCCTGGGTGAGCGGAGCACAAATTCAGCCTTGCATGCTGCATGCGCACTTTGTGCTGCAGGGGAGGCTCGTTTTCGCTTACAGCAGTGCTGTCCAGCCTTACTGCCCTCATTAGTAGCTTCACTCGCGTGAGGCCATAGCCATAGCCGCCAGAAGCAGCCGCTGGAGCCCTAAACCCTGTAAGCTCCTCTGGGGTCTCCAGGCAGCAGTCATCTGGATTCAAGGATGTCAAGTTTGCCTGTGTTTGGTACTTGGAGGATCATGGGAATTAGTAAGTCACGTCATAAGTACCTTAACTGGGGTTGTAAGTTGTAAGTAGTTGTAAGTATAGTTGCCCTAATTATTACCCTAGTTACTAAGTCCCATGATACTATAAGTATTGTGTATTAGTTATGGCTGTCTGCAGAATCGACGATTGTGGTAATGGCGCCTTGTAAAACTGCCTAGCATCACAGCAAGATTGTAATTAATAACCCTAAACCCTAAACCCTAACCCTGTAGGAAGCTGACTAGAAAGCTTGGGCCTTTGTTAGGGTTCCATGTTGTATTTTTGTTCATATAAAACCCGAGAGAATGTGAAACCTATTATTTTTGTTATGATGGTTCTAAGGGGGTATAGTATATGCATCCCTCTATTTTGGGGTTATGGGGCCAGGGTTTCTTAATCAGGTTCCTACATTATTCGTTGAAGGCTTCATCAAATGTCACCTGGGTCTTGCAGAACTCTATAACACCCCCCCCCACCCACTCCCCCGATAAAACCCTTTACGACACCCCTTGCACATAACCCACGGGTCCAAGAACCCAAATCACGTGCGACCCCTAGGGCAAACCTGCTCTTACAACGACCGGATACCCAAGTACTTTCTTTTTTGTATTTTTGACCCTTGGGGTAAGATCTAACAGAGCCAAAACCTGACGTGCATGGCTTGTACAGCTGAATTGCCTCATTTCCGAGAGCCTGGAATCGGTCCTTTCGGGATGCGACCGTTTTCGTTTCCAAAGGATCCTATGTATCGGTTTCGGACTACGGGTTTCGGGTAGTTTAGCCATCGAGGTTTGGGTTGCAGAAAAAGTAGTCATGTGCGAATATAGGTGGAATGTTCACACCAACGCAATATACCAGAAACTGCTACAACAGCACTTATTTTTCTAAGTTCGATACCCTGCACCCCTTACCTAGGGGATAGTGGTCTCTCTTTGTGCTTCATATTTAGAATCCTGGAAGGTAATCCCAAGAAAGAGCTACTGTGGAGCCTATGCGTGAACCCCTTACCTAGAGGCTCCAAAGTGGTTTCTCTTTGTGGTTCATATTTAGAATCCTGGAAGTTAATCCCAAGAAGGAACTACTTCGGAGCCTTTGGGTATGTACAGCGATGTAGGCAACATAGGATCCTTTTTTGCTCGTTAGGCTGGCACCGTACGAAGGGAGAATGTGGAGCCAATGTAGGGTTCAGGGCTTGGTGTCTAAAGGGTCCAGGGATTAGGATTTAGGGATTATAAGGCTATAGGGTTTAGGGTCCAAAGAGTAGGGTTTGGGGATTAGGGTTCATCAGGCTCTACGGTTCAGTCGATCAGGGCTCCAAACCTTTAGAGGGATGGCTAGCCAGCCCATACATCCTGTGCCAGCCGGGGGCAAGTGGGTTCCTCAGAGAGGAGATGCCACAGAACCACCACTTTTTCAGGCAGGAAGCATGCTTCCAGAGAAGGCAGGGGCTACTGATCCTGAATCCTCTAGTTGCATGCTACTGGTCGAGGGTTTAGGGTTACACGCATGGCTCTTCAACTAAGCGTACTTTGCAAATACGGCAATCAGACTCTGTAGCAGTACTATCATCGTATTGCAATAGCCCGAAGCCCTAAATACCCTTAGCTCTCCGAGCCTGGCATCAGTTCATATCTTCATCTCCGAACTCCCACTTGTGGCTTGCCACAGC